AAGTTATGTAAAGGCTTTGGGGCCATTATAAAGTAGAATAGGGGTTCTGAGCCAGTCCACCCAACAGCCAAGGCAGCTACTAAGAGATGAGGTGGTCAGGGAGCATTTACAGAGTTGATGGGCTGGACAGAGAGGTCATCTGCATCCTGGGCAGGACAGAGCAGGGCCCTGTGAGATTTTCTCATGCTAGTCAGACAGCACACTCTTTAAAACTTATGAGTTGTTTATTTCCGGAATTTTCTATTTAATGTATTTGGACTGCACATAACTGAAACTTCAGAAAACAAAAGTGCAGATAAGGGGTGATTGCTATATCTCAGTTGATTCTTGTGAGGAACTGTTAAGAGATGGAAAAGAAAGCTCTTTGTAAAGAGCACAGCGTGGTTCACATAATTTTAATTCTGTCATTCTTCAGACCAGGGCCAGTCTGGTATGAATCACATATGAGATCACATATGATGTGATCTCTAGAGATCATTTTGAAATTTCTGGTAGGCACATAAAAAGTTACCCAAAAAGAGGTGGAGGGTGACTTCTTGTCCTGCCTGGCTCATATAGCCACAGAACAGTCACCCGGGCCTACCTCCTGACTTTGAAGTCCCCAGCTCTCAGGTCTTCCAAATTGGGGCTATGTCTGTTGTTTCTGGGGTCGGTTACTGCACCCTGTCCCCATCACCACCACCATTAAGTGGTGGCCACAGGCTCAGCGCATAGCATAGCACCAGCATTTATGTCAAGAAACAAGGTAGTAGAGTGACTACCACTTCCTCCCACCCAGTGTCCTCACCCCGCTTGTTGGGAGAAAGGCGGCCTGTGGTCGGGGGCTGGTCAGAGAACCCCCTGTCTCAGAACCGCAATGAAGGTCAATGTTCTCCAACCCAAGAAGACCTCCCGGCATCCCTAGTTCACAAGAAGGGGGAGGAGACTACTTGGAGATCACCACTTGACGAAAAGGTTAACTGGGTGTCAACCCAAATTTAGAGCAAAGCCACCTGTGAAGATGTGCTCAGTTAGTGACCGGTCATGAGCTATACATCGACAATGCACGCACTTCCCCACATGTATGCCACGTTTTTATTATTGATTTTTTATACCCACATGCCCGGACCCCCTCTCACAGGTTCTGCTTCACAAAGTCTAGGATATGTCCTTGGCACTTATGTAGTTTTTAAAGCTTTCCATATGACTCTTACTAGCATGTACGGTTCAGAACTAGTGATAAGCAAATGAAGGAAGATTGGGTTATGCTAAGGGGGAAGGATGCTGAGGCAGGGCTCCCATCCTGTTTAGAATAATGAAGTTTCAGGAAGTCCAACAGGTTGGTAGATTGATATACATAAAACCTCTGGATGTTCCAAAAAAACCCCAACATTATAAAATACAAGAAGCAGGTAATTATGGGGAGAAGAAATGTAGCAAAAGCTTGATTGCCTTCATACATATAAAGAACTTGTACAGATCAGTAAGATGAGCACCCAATAGAAAAACAGAATACAAACAAGAACAGACAATTCACAAAGAGGGGACTTCCGCCAAGATGGAGGCATAGGTGGAGATACCGTGCTTTCTCACACAACCAAGTTTAGAGACGACAAAATATTAGCAACAGAAAACACAGCCAGAACACAGAAAATTGAACTTTTCGGAAGTCTGACAACAACGAATGCTTCAGCCTGACCGGTAGGGGGGCGAAACCAGCAACTGGCGGAGCGAGGTTGCACAAGAAAACTGGGTCAGATGGACTCAGGCGAGCAAATCCCAGGTGTGGGGTTGCAAAGGGTGGACCCAGTGAGTGACCCAGTGAGCGATCCGCGGATCCGGCGAGGGCACTGGGCGGTGCGTTGACTATGGTGCCACATTACTGCGTAGATAGACTGACGAGGGAGTGGGCAGTGAGACGGGACCAAACGGGCCCCAGCGGCAGGCGGCAGCAGAGAGGGCCGCCATTTCCCCGCTCTGACCCCACTCCCACATCTGGTGTCACAACCCAGCGACCTCCCCCTGGTGGCCCCACCCCGCCCCTAAGGCTCTGCTCCTCATACTTAACGGGCACAAACAGACTAAAAATGGCTCAAGAAGATCTCAAAGCCCCAGAGCCCATAACTCTAAGCGACGAAGAAATAGCAAAACTTTCAGATGCACAGTTCAAAACACTGGTCATCAGGATGCTCACAGAACTGGTTGATTTTAGTCACAAACTAGAGGAACATATGAAGGCTAAACTAATTGAAATGAAGGGAATTGCACAGGAAACCAATAGTGTTGAAAAGGGAACTGGGTCTCAAATCAAGGGAGTGAACCAGAAGGAAGGAAAAAAATGACCGAACAGGAAAATATGAAGAAACAAAAATTCAAAAAAATGAGGAGAGACTTAGGAACCTCCAGGACATCATTAAACGCTCCAACATCCGAATTATAGGGGTACCAGAAGGGGGAAAGGAACAGCCACTATTGGCAAACTTATTTGAACAAATAATAAAGGAGAATTTCCCCAATCTGGCAAAGGAAATAGACTTCCAGGAAATCCAGGAAGCTCAGAGAGTCCCAAAGAAGTTGGACCCAAGAAGAAACACACCGAGGCACATCATAATTACATTAGCCAAGATTAAAATGAAGGAGAGAATTCTAGAAGCAGCAAGAGATAAGGGGACAGTCACCTACAAAGGAGTTCCCATCAGACTGTCAGTGGATTTCTCAAAAGAGACCTTACAGGCAAGAAGGGGCTGGAAAGAGGTATTCCAAGTCATGAAATCCAAAGACCTACAACCAAGATTACTCTATCCAGCAAAGCTTTCATTTAGAATGGAAGGACAGATAAAGTGCTTCTCAGATAAGGTCAAATTCAAGGAGTTCATCATCACCAAGCCCTTATTATATGAAATGTTAAAGGGACTTATCTAAGAAAAAAGAAGATAAAAAAGATGAACAGTGAAAGGACAGCAAACTCACAGTTATTAACAACCACACCTAAAACTAAAGCAAACTAAGAGGACAGCTAGATCAGGAGTGGAAACATAGAAATGAAGATCTCAAGGAGGATTAGCAACAGGGGAGTGGGAGGAGGAGAAGGGGGGAGAAGGTACAGAAAATAAGTAGCATAGACTGTAGGTAGAAAATAGACAGGGGGAGGGCAAGAATAGTATGGGAAATACAGAATCTAAAAAACTTGAGATACATGGACATGAACTAAAGGGGGGAATGGTGGGAGTGGGGGGTGCAGGGTGGAGAGAAATGAAGGGGGGAATAGAACAACTGTAATGGCATAATCAATAAAATAAAAATAAAATAAAAAAAGAACAGACAATTCACAAAGAATACAATGAATGGGCCAATACACTTAGGAAAAATGGTCAGCCTCACCAGGAATCAAATAAATGCAAATTAAAACAACAGAGACATTATCTTTTGCCGAGCTAATTGGCGAAGATTAAATACACGATAATACCTCACGTCGGTGAGGGTGTGGAAAAAAACCACTCACTGTCATTCACTGGTGGGAGTACAGATTGACGCAACCTTTCCAGAAGGTAATTTGGCAACCATAAAGCTGAGAAAGATTGCAAACCTTTTTGACGCAGCAATTCCGCTTTTAGGAAGATTGCCTTAGGAAATAATTGTGGATAATAATAACAATAATAGCTAACCTTTATTAAATGCTCTGGCATGCCAGGCTCCACATACATTATCTCATTGAATCCTCACAGCCATCATCCCACAAGGCAGGAACTGTTATCACCTGTATTTTACAGATGAGGAAACTGAGGTGCAAAAGGATGAAGTCAGTGACCTGAAGACACAAAGCTAACAAGTAGCACAGCCTGGACTTGAACCCAGGCAGTCTGAGTCAAGAGTCACACTACCTGTACAGCACTGTACAGGGGATGTGTGCAAAGGGCGAATACTGTGTGCACTGGATTTGTGCATTGGATATATAATGTACACATGGGATGAAGCTGCAAGGCTGTTCCTCTGGGCTTGTCTGTGGTGGGGAGGGGGAGGGGGAGGGCTGAAACCATGCTGAATGCCCCGTGATAAGAAGCTGTCATGTATATTGTGATATACTCACGTGGGATTATTATGCAACCCTGAAAAATGATGCTATAGGAAAAAGTGTATGTGGACACTGGTGGTTTTGTACATGTATGGTACTGGCAATGTTTTCATTTTGTTTAAAAATATGTGTGATTGAGTGTTTTGTATATGTGTAAAAGATCTCTGAAAGGACATAAAAGGAAGTGATAAAAGTGGTTGCCTTCTAGAAAGGCAACTGTGTAGCTGTGGTCAGCAGTTAGAGAAAGAGTTGTTTTTTTTTAAGCCATATGCCCTTTTTCACTTCTTGAATTTTGAATCATGTGAATATATTACCTTTGAAAATGGGTATATATCTGTAAATGATTCTCCCAGGTCACAGTGCTGTCTTGGCCCTGCCTACTCCTTCTCCTCCGAGCCCCTGCCTTTACTTAGCTCTTAGCTGAATCGGCTCTTCTCTCAGCCTGAACTGGGGTAGCTCCTCTGGGCTCCAGCACCCCCATATCCCCACGAACCGTGCTGTGATATCAATGCCAGGTGCCAGCTTCCCTGAGGGGAGGAGCTGTGTCTGTCATCTGGCTGCGTCCCCTGGGTCTGAGTACTGAAGTCAGGGAGATCTGGGTTTGAATCCCAGTTCCGTCACCTTGAGGCAGTGACTTCACCATCCTGCACCTGTTTCCCCATCTATAAATGGGTTTGATTACTGCAGTGAACTCATGGGGTTATTTTCATAAGATAATGTATGTGAAGCTCCCAGTACTGTCCAGACAGGAAGGAAGCCCTCCATAGGTAGTAGCTACACTGACATCATTGCAGACCCTCTGTGAATGCTTGTCGAATTGACCTAGGAAATGACACCTGGAAGGGCGGGTCCCCAGGCCCAGCCCAAGGCCAGTTGCCCTTCCTCCACTGCCCATGCTTGGCACCCCCCATCACCACCATGCTCACCTCCCTGCCTTGTACCCCCACAGCCACCCGGCCCAAGCTGAAGAAGATGAAGAGTCAGACGGGACAGGTGGGGGAGAAGCAATCGCTGAAGTGTGAGGCAGTGGCCGGTAACCCCCTGCCCTCCTACCGCTGGTTCAAAGATGGCAAGGAGCTAAACCGCACCCGCGACATTCGCATCAAGTACGGCAATGGCAGGTGAGCAGCAGCCATCCCTCCCTCCTGGCATCTGCCCTCATGAGAAGGAGGGGCCTGAGCTGGCAGAACCCAGGGCTGTGCCCCCAGATCCACCTATGTATCAAATTCTGGTCCCCCTTCTTTGCCACACCCAATTTCTCCTGCAACTCTGGGCTCCTCTGGTTATGGTGGCCTAGTGTCTTCAGACTGTAGGTGCTTGATTAATGTTTCTGGATGGTTGAAGGCAATTCGATTGTCAGAGTCAGCTTTGCCTGTGGAAGTCCCCTCTTGTCCTCAAACTTCTCAAAGGACCTGCCACAGTGTCTGAAAGCCCAGCATCTGGCAATCTTTGGTGAAAGACTGATTGCAGAATGCATCTGGGAGGTCATGTGCTTGGATGGGCCAGTTTCTCAGTCCAGCAATCTGTCCTGGGCAGAGAGCTAGGTAAGGGCAAAGGACATGTGACTTTGACTAGTGTCAGGGAAGTCTCTGTCTCAGACATGCCCCCTGCGACATGGGGGTTGTCCTTAGTCTCAGAGTCAGTGTTCCAGGGAAGTGAATCCGAAGCTCTGGAGCCCCAGCTCTGGAATTTGGTCTCTCTTCCATCTCGGGCTGGTTGGACAGGGGCTTCAGGCACCAGAGAAGCCCGAGTCCAAGGGCAGCTCCTCATTCCTCTCCTGCCTCTCAAAGCCCCTGAGAGGCTATTAGAAGGCAGGACAAGCAAGAAGGGAGGTTCCCATCCGCCTGATAAACAGAAACTCTCCCTGGCCTCTGTTCTGTTGGTGGGGGGACTTCCCTCTCTGGCTGAGAATCACCCTAGTCTTTCCCGCCCCTCTGGAGTCGCTTACAACCACCTTCTTCCTGGCTGTCCTTTCCTCCTCACTGCCCCCCAAATGCAAACAAGGATGGTTTTAGAGGACCCCAGCCTGCCCTGCAACAGAAAGTGATGGGAAGCCCAGGCTCAGGCTGCTCCTGGGTTGCTCTGTGGCCCTAAATGTGAACGTTCTGCCACTCAGCCTTAGTCTCCAAATCTGTGAAAGAGGGTGTGGGGCTAAGGGTCTGAGAGGCGCTTCCAGTTTTCTTACGGTCCGCAGGAGCGGGGAGCAGAGGCCAAACTGGTCACCTGGAAAGGGGTCCACGCAGGAAACAGTGATTTATGAAGAATGTGGTTTAAATCGGAGACTGATGGGAAAGAACGCTGCTTCCCTGAGGGAGCTGAGGAGGGGTGGTCTTGTGTGTCCCCAGTCTATAGGTTTAGCAAAAACTTAGGCTGCCCTCCACGTTCTCCTCCCCAGGCCACCCCCTCCCTTCCCACTGCCCTGCTGAGAGGAGCTCCAAGTGGGAGAAAAGAGCTTCTGAGGTCGTTGGAAATTCTGTCCTCACTTCCAGGGGGACAGGGCAGAGCACTCTCTCCTAACTTCTGCGGCTGCGGGGAAGCAGGGCAAGGTCATCTTCCAGGAGGGACCACGGAAGTCAGGAGAGAGCGTTCCCCTCTTCTCATCCTCACTCTGCAGCTCATCCTCAACTCGGCCACCCTCATCCCCCAACTCCTGACCCCCCGTCCCTTCACACCTCCCTATCACTGCACACACAGGAGCATGCCCACCCCTGGAGCCCCGGTGCCACCCACAGATCCTTTCTCCGGTGACATCAGCCTTTCTCTTTCTACTCGCAGACCCCCCTGCGTGGCCTCCCTGGTCGTCGCTGTGCCCCCCCCCTCCAGCTGTTGCCCACTTCGCTTCTTCCCTCCACCACCCCAGGGAGCCATTTGTATGCCCGCAGACTCCACTCTCCTTGTCCTCACTCCCCTTGGCTCCGCTGAAATCTGCCTCTGAACGCAACCTCCCCACCCCCATGCCTGTGGCTCTTGAGAGACCCAGGGACCTCCAGGCTCCCAGCCCTGTGCCTCGGAGCCTCTCAGCAGCAGGTGGCACAGGGGCCACGCGCTCCTCTGCGTCTGGGGTCCTCCTGCTGTCCTGTGCCTCTAACCACCCTCTCTCGGTTGTCATCAATGTGCCGGAACTTTCCTGTCTTTTGAGCTTCACTCTTCTCTGCCCTGCCCCCCTGTGGGCAGTTGCACCCTCTCATATCTGATGACCCCAAGCCTCCATCTCTAATTTGATAGCATTTTTTTAACCTGAGTTCCAGACCCTTGCCGCCAGCTAAATACTGGAGACCACCCTGAGGTGCCCCAGGAGCATCTCCAATCCAGAGTGCAGCCTCTCCCCTGGCCCTGTCTCACCCTCCCATGCTTCATTCTTAGCACTGTCCCCCTGCTGTCCCCTCCTGTCCAATACCACTTCTCCAGAGGGAGGCGCCTTCCTCCCCACAAGTTTCTTTTCTGGTCTCTCAGCTTTTAGCCTCTTTGCCTCCACTGTCCCACTCTTGGCCATCCCCATCTCTTCCGGGCCATCGGCCCCTTCGTGAACTCATCTGTGTATCTAACACAGCATCAGCTGTACGCCAGGCACCCTGCCAGAGGCTGGAGATACAGCAGGGAAGGGAACAGACGGGGTCCTGACCTTCACAGAGTTTCTAGTCCAGCTTCCAGTGTAGAATTAGGTAAAGGCCTCCACCCTTTCTTCGGGAAGAAATGTGTCTCATCCACCCAGTTTGGCTTCCAGTCTAGAAGTCTGCAGAGTCACGGGCTCCCATGACTCCGACACAGATAATGATCTTTCTGACACGGGCACGCAGCCAATCTTTCATTCATTTACTTGACAGATCTTGAGAGCCTGCTGTGTGCCAGGAACAGACTGGGCCTTAAGGCCCTTCCGATTCTTCTTTCCCCGGCCTCTCAGTCACTGCCCCGCTGTCCCCCAGCACCTCAGTGCTCCTGAGCCCTGCTCTTTCCTCACAAGACCCTGGACTTGGGCCCAGGCTATTCCCTGTGCTGGCAGGGCTGCCCCACCACACACACACATACACCGTCCTTGGAAAAATTCTCCAAGGCCCAGCTTAAATGTCATACCCTTTGGGACACCTTCCTGAGCCCTCCAGGCGGCTCACGTCATCTCCTGCCATCACCTGCCTTAAACATAGTTCCACTGCATTGTTGGGGGCACTGTCTCTCTCCCTGACAAGAGAGAACCCCTCCCCCTCAGACAGCCCTCTCCCCTGTGTGGCCTGGCAGAGGAGATCTGTGTTCAGTGCTGAATGAATGGGAATCTTGCAGCGCTAGCTCTCCTCTCTCAGGAACGAAGCGACTCTAGGGCTGGCAGGTCGCCCTGGGAGTGGGTCTAGCCCTCGAGCTCTTGAGCGTCCAAGTAGAACCTGTTTCGTACAACAAATAGGTCCGCCAGTCCAGAAGCGGGGCCTGGTCAGGTCTTCCCCTGAGTATCGGGGACCTCTGAGAGCCCGAGTGTGTCCCTGTGCCCTTCCCGCCAGGGCCCCATCCTGTCTGCTGCCTTTCTGAAGCTGGGGCTCCACCCGTCCTGCCCCAGTGGGGCAGAGGAGCGGGCCACGATGGAGAACTTCTGTTTCCTGCGTCTTGACTCAGAGACAGCTGCCACCCCCACACACACTTCACCTGGCATGGGGACCAGGGGCAGGGGCAGGTGTCTCCTCTCTGGAAGCATCCTCCTTCTTTCAGCCTGCACTGCAGCCTGCTCTCTGGCCCTCCCAGCAGTCCCCTGCCCAGGCCACGTTCTGTCTTGACATTGTTCTTGACCTGGTGGAGACGCCCCCCCCAGCAGGTGCTGCTGTCTCGGGGCTGCCGCATGAGGTGTCTCACCCGAGCCGCGCTGCGCCAGGAGAAAACTGGCCCCCCAAGTCCTGGGCACAGGGCACTCCCAGCAGAGCCACGTGCTCCGCTGTTTATGAGGGGCAGGCTGGAACAGGCCCCTCAGGCAGGCAGAGGGAGGTAGGCACCCAGGAAAATGTGTGGGTAGAGGAAGGACGTGGCCGCCCAAATCCCGTCCCTGCCAGCAAAAAAAAAAAACCTGGCTAAGGAAGGAAGGAAGGGGCATCCATCACAGGGACAGGCCTGGGTCAGGGTGGCAAGGCGGCCAGGCACCAGGCCTGCCAGGAGGTGGCCAGGAATGAAGAGAAGAGAATGGAGTATGTGTTGTCCCCTCTAGCCCTCTGCACCTTCAGGGCCAAAGAGACCCTTAGAGCCCAACCCTTCATCTCTGACCCCAGGGCCTCTGATGCAAGTTTGGGCCCCTCCCTGGGATCGGCAAGATTGCCACGCAGCTGGTGTATGTGGGGGCCACTGTTCCTGTCCCCTGGCCTCTCTCTGCTTCCTCAGAGGGGAGCGGCTCTCCCTGAGCCCTGATCCCCGCTCCCGCAGTTCTCACACTTTCTTGTGGGAAGTTCTTCTTTTTAGTTGTAGCTTTTTCCCTCCAGATGTGTGAGCCTAGCTCTTCCTTGTCCTGCTGCGTATGATGTCATGTAAAAGAAGGCCCTTTGAATTCAGCTATGGCTGACAAGGAATTTCTGGCCCTAGGTCTGTTCTACCTTGACCTCGTGGCCCTCCAGTGATCTCTTGTTCTGCTTGTCTAGTGTCAGGGAAGATCTGGTGTCCGGGAAGCAAGAGAATCCTGGTCCTGAGGCAGCTGGGCTTTGAGGCATCTAATTGGGCTGCAGCCAGGAGGGAGATGCCATCCTAGTCAGAGGGGCCTGAAAGGCTCTGTTTATAATGAAGGGAACCAACTCAAATGGACAGAAAAGGGCTGTGGGCAGACACCAGGCCAAGGAGACACCGACCGACTTGATCTGGGAAGAATTGCAGGGCAGTAAGGGAAAGGGTCAGGCAGCCATCACTATAACATCAGTGAGGATATTGCCATAGCAACAGGGCCTGCTGACAAGACAACCTTATGGATGCTTGTTTGGGGGTATTGGAGTGAGGAGGTCTGGGAAGAAGCCCTCTCCCGGAGGCAGAGGCGGAGCCCAGGAGACAGGTGCCCACACACAGCCCTGGTGGAGATGCGGGTCAGTTTGCTGTCTCCTCCCCCTGGCCTAGCCTCTCTACTCCACTCCCCTGTCCTCCTTCCCTCATCGCCTGCCTAGCTCTGTTCTACACCCTGGGCTCCAGGCAGCGGCAGCTTTGCTCCCCCACCTCCCATTCTACCACCCCTCCAACCCACTACACATATTCTGGGAATCTGGTGTTTTAATTCAGGACTAAAAAGAGGAGAAGATTACATCATGGAAAGAAAATTTCATGCTACTTTTTGTTTCCCCCTGGGGGCCAGGCTGGGGTCCGGGGCTTTATCTGGAGTCGTGACCAGCCCCTGGGGAGCACCAGGGCAGAGCGGGCAGTGGGAGGTGTGACCAGACCCTGCAGAGCCCAGGCTCCTTGGGGCAGGTGCAGAGAGACTCTGGGATGGAAGCAGAGGTTTGGCGGGGCCTTCAGAAAAGAGGAGAACCAAGGCCAGGCCCCCACATCTCTCAGCTTGCAGAAACTGAGTGCGAAGTCCTCCACAGAGGGGCCAGCCCCCGTGTCAGGCTCCAGGAGAGAGTCCATGTCCTCACCAACTGTAGCTCCTTGTCCATCTCTTCCTTTGCCCTGCCAGACAGGTGCCCTTGGACAAGTCTGGAAGCTCCTCTCGGACTCAGTTTTCCTGTCTGTGCTATCCTGTCGACCCCCAGATGAACCCTGATGGTCAAGTCAGGCCACAAGGATAGGGTCTCTGTGTTCCCTAATGTATTCAAGCTCCTGGCACTCAGAAGGCACTCAGTAAACATTCGCTGAATGAATGAATGAATGAATGAATGAATGAATGAATGAGTGAAAGCCCCTTGGAGAAGCCACAGCATGCCCCTTAGTGGCAGGGCTAATGTGATGTTAGGGAAGAGCCACAGATTGGAACTGGGAGGCTGGGCACAGTTGTCATGGGAACCTGCGAGTCCTGGGGAAGCCCCCACCCCCAGGTGCCTGGCAGTAGGCCTTGCATAGAGAGTGACAGGCTGCCACTTCCAAGGGGAGGCTGAGGGAGCTGGTGAGCCCACGGCTGACCTGTTCCAGTCAGGGGAGGGACACTGGAACTGGGGGGAGGGGCAAAAAAGGAGGAGGTGACCATCTGACTTCCTAAGGGACCCCGCTTCCCTCCCCCAGAAGATGCGAACTACAAAGAAGGGCCGGCACTGGAAACGCAACGTGGAGGTTCTCAGATTTAGGGCACGTGTGCAGCCCCTGGCCCTGCCCTCTGTTCTCCTGAGTGCCCCGGTCTTCTTCCAACACCGGGGGCTCCACGTCCCACCCGGACCCCAGACTCTGCTTCCCGTCGCTGCCACATAGCCACTGTGGCTCTGCAGGGGGAGGTGACCTCTGGGTGCCCACTGGGGAGTCACAGCCAGCCTGGGCCCTGGCTCATGCCTCTCCCCCTCTTATTACCTCCCTAACCAGAAAGAACTCACGGCTACAGTTCAACAAGGTGAAGGTGGAGGATGCAGGGGAGTACGTCTGCGAGGCGGAGAACATCCTGGGGAAGGACACAGCCCGAGGCCGCCTCTATGTCAACAGTGGTAGGTAGTCCCCCTACAAAGGGAGGGGTCCTGTAGGGCTTCCGTGGGGCAAGCCGGTGCCCCATCCCTGGGGAGGCCGGCACATGGTCTTGCACTTGACTCCCCTCCCTCCTGCCGCTGCCATATCAATCCCCGAGATCTGGGCCGATTCAGAGAAATGCAGTCGAAGCATAAATGTTTAGCTTTGTTATCTGGGCCTGGAAGAGCCGCCAGCTCTCATTTTAAATACCCTAAAAACTAAATATTTTGAAATCAAGAGGTGGGGGTGGGGGAAGGATATTTTTAGAAGGCAATTATGGGAGGCTGGGCTGCCAGGTCTGGGCTCCGGGGAGAGGCAGGCCCAGGGTGTGTGTGAGCTGCTGCCTGTTGCCTGTGGCTTTGCTGGGCACCTGAGTGCAGGCAGCCATCTCCACAGGGCCCTGGCGGGAGGCTCGGGTGCCTTTGGCCCCAGGGACAGCCTCTGCTCAGGTGAACAGGCCCCTTCCCCACATGGAATCCTCTTCCTTAAAAACTTGTCAGGTCAGGAGCTCAAGGCATCTCCTCCCCAGCTTGAGCGTGGAGGCTGCCTCCCGCTGGGTTGCCTTCTGTGGCCCTCACTGTGGCCCTTCAGGGGGAGGGGTGCGTCACCAGAACTACCTCTCCTCAGGCTACACCCTTCGACCCTAGCAAACCCCAGAGAGCTCTTCCTTCCTCCTGACACCCACCGACCTACCATACCATTTGGCTCCCTGGTTATTTGGTTCACTTCCCAGTCCTGCCCCAGTTAGAGTCTCGTCCTGTACGTGTCCTCGCCCCTGTGTTTCCACCACGTGGCCTTGCGGGGCTGTCTACACCCAGCACGGTCTAGAGAGAACTTGGAACCTTGCTGCTCTTGGCCCTGCCCTCAGAGGAAAACCTGGCGCAGACCTCGATCCTGTCTTGTGAGGGACCCTGTGCCGCCAGCCTCTCGGGCTCCTCGGTCTCCCTCGCCACTGTTTCTCTTAGACCCAGGTCGGGCCGCTCGCTGAGTCCTCCTCACACCTATTCCTTCCATTCCAATCCCACCTCAGCAGCAACCTTGGCCCAGGTGTTAGCCCGTCACCTGAACCAGAGCAAAGGCTTCTCAGGACCCTTTCTTCCTGCCACGTAGCCACCCTGGAGCCACAGAACAAAGACTTTGTCCCTGGGCTCAGCTCTCCAGGGAAGGCCCAGACGACCTTTCCAGTCCTAACTGCAGCCTGTCCCTTGCATCCATCATTATTTCTCCTCCCATGTCATCTCTCCCAGGTGGCCCTCCTCTCAGACCACTCCCAGCCTGGGCCCCACCCTGGGCCATGTCTTGGCCAACCATGGTCTCGTGTATCTCTTAAACTCTAGCCTTTGACTAGAATCTTCAAGTCTCATAACGTTACTGAGCTTTCTGTGCGGGCGTGCATGCCCCAGTGGATCCACGAGCCGAGAGCGTGGAGAGCGAGATGACGCCCTCTCCCCGGGAGGGTGGACAGCAGCTGCAGTTCCCGACTCCCTACTGTCTCCTGAGCCCTTACTCACGGCCACGAGACATTAAATATCCTGCCCAAGTCAAAGAGCTAGTTGACGATAGAGCTGTGCGATGTGAGAGCTATCGGCAAACACTGAGACCACGTGCTCCAGGGGGCTTTGTGGGGCTGTCTGCCGTTCTGGCCTCTGGGCCTAGCACCGTGCCTGGCTGAGAGCGGGCACCTGGGAAATGCTGTACGAAAGGACTGGGAACCTGCTCCCAGGCCTCTGACTGACTCCCACGTGCCCCAGCCTGGGCATGGTTGTGGTGGGGTACCTGGGCCTCCTGCTCCTCCCAACCGGTCCCGAGATGGGAAAATGGGCTCACCTGGGCGCCAGCACCTGCTGCCTCAGCCAGAGCAGGCAGACAGCCTCAGGCCCACTTTGGATTGGAGGTGTCCTACTTCATTATTCAAGATTTTCTTGGTTGGAACTGACAAGAACCCAACTTGAAAGTACCTGAAGGAATTCAGGGGTTTATGAACCTGAGGTGCCCAGACATAGCTCCAGACATGACGGGAACTCAGGGCAGGGTCAGGACACTCCCTCCCACTGTACGTTGGCCTCATTTTCTCCTACTGGCAAGTGGGCTCCCCCGTGTTTGGGGAGTGGATTGGGAAGAAGAGGCTATGGCCTGAGACAGGGCCAAGGGGACTCATCCCCACTCGCCCCCGCCCCCCCGGGAAGGGATAGCATTGTGTCCGTGTCCGTTCCTATGATTACAAGGGTGGGTCCCAACAGCTTCTGCCTAGGTAGTGTGCCCCCCCTGGCCCAGGCACTGTGCTCAAAGGGGTGAGGGCCGAGCCCTTGCCAGGCCTGTGAATGTGCAGCACAGGTATGGAGGCAGAGTGTGACCCGGCCAGAACCACGGGGTGGCAGGGGGAGGGGAGGGGGCCCTTCCTTAGATGCGTGCTGTTAGCAGAGGAGGAGGAAAGGGCTGCCGTGCAGAAAACCACGAAGTGCCCTCTGTCTTGCACAAGTCTTAGTGCCTAAGCCTGGGGACTGTCACGAGATCCCTCAGATAAGCTGCAACTCACCCCACACACAGGCTCTGTCAGCCCTTGGCAGCCTGTGTTCTGATCAGTCAGGGAACCAGACAGCGGAGCTTGAGGCTGGGCTTTGAGCGTTTCCCATGTGGCTCCTGGCTCCTTGTCCCTCCAGCCTGGCTGGAGAGCATCAGGGCAGTGGCGGAAAGAATCAGAGCTTTGGTCTCATCCCAGGTGCAACCCAGGGCAAGTGACTCTACCTCCCTGGTCAGCTTTCCCATCTGCGGCTCCACTGGGTGATCTGCAAGTCCCTGCCGCCTTGCTCATGGAGAAACCTCTGGGATTCTGTGTTCGATGTTGAGGCTGACATCCTGTGCACCTGGCCACCGCCACACACACAGCACCGCCCCACACCATGCCTCCTCTGTTGCTCTGTTCAGTCCACAGCAGGCAAGATCCTACCCTTGATGTGGGGAGGCAGACAGGGTCGCTGAAGGGGACCAGAGGCCCACTGGGGATGCCTTCCCAGGAGGAGATGCCCAGGCTCCCTGCTTTTCCGTGGAACCCAGAGGACCTGCAGCAACCACACCTTGGGGAGGGGGGTGGAGGGTGGGTGGCGGGCATCTGTGCCTGCCCCCTTCTGACTCATCCCAAGGTGGGTTGACCTGGCCCGCCTGAGCCTCAGGGAAGCCAGGACTGCTGGGGCGGGGAGACCAGGAAAGGGCACAGGAGCGCCGATGAGGAGCAGCAGCTGCTCAGGGAGCATCAAGGTGGCTTTTGTCTCTTGTAGCTCTGTTCCCATGGACCCCAATGCTCCTCCCCAAATCACAGTGCACGCTCTTGCAGTCACAGCCCTGCCAGCTCACAAGAGACACATTCCTGAGTTGGCTGGGATGAGGAGCAGGCAAGAAGTTTGTGGTGCTTTTAACAAAACAGTCTGCTTGGTCCAACCCACTTCTGAGTTGGAGAAACCAGCTGCCTCATCCCCCAGTGGCTGTACCAGTCCCAGGACATCAGGCTGGGCCTGGTTTCACCTTGAAACCCAGAGGGCAGTCAGGTGCGACCTGGGATATCACAGAACCATGGAAGTTCCAGAGAGGCTTCTGGGTCTGTTCCTTACCTGGGGACTTAGAAAGGCCATCTGTTTAATCACATACAAACGCGTGCATGCATGTGCTCTCACGCACACATTCAGCGCCGCCTTACTCAGCAAGACCCTGTCCTGACTGAGACCCTGTCCTGAGCTCTGGGGAATCACAGTCTGGGCTCCCCAGAAAGTCCTTTAAGTGGCAAGAAGTTAAAACCTTAAAGTGTCTGCCTATTCCAACACACTGAAGGTGAAGGCTGGGGCAACCTTACCAACAGGAAAGAGGGGACCTGGGCAAATGTGGGGGTGTCCTTACGGATGAAGAGACCCTGGATCTGAGCCCTGAAAGATAATCAGAGGTTTCTTCCCAAGCGGAGGAGCAGCAGGCAGCAGGGCGGGTGTGTCCACAGCATCTGCTCGCTCCTGGCCCGCCCTCTCTTCCGGGCCCCGGGAAACTTCCTGCTCCGACACTAATGGGTGATGCAGGCTTTCGGGGTTTACCCTGCCCAGGCATTTTTCTAAGTCAATTTTTTGAGGTCTAATTGACATACCATAAAGTTCACCTTTTCTAAAGCATAGAATTTGCTGTTTTTAGTATATTCACAAAATTGTATAAAACCGTTACCACTAATTCCAAAACATTTTCATCACTTCAAAAAGAAACCCTCTATTCATTAACAGTCACCCCCCCCTTTACCCCTTCCCCTAGTTTCCGACACCCGTTCATCTGCTTTCTGCCTCTGTGGATTTACCTATACTGGATGCTTTATATAAATAGAATTGTACACCATGTGGCCTTCTGTGACTAAATTCTTTCATATAATATAATGGTTTCAAGTTTCATCTATGTTGTAGCATGCATCAGTATTTCTTTACTTTTTATGGCTGAATAATGTTCCATGGTATGAATATACCATATTTTGCTTATCCTTTCATCAGTGAGTCATTCAAGTTTGTTTCCACATTTGGGCTACTATGCATAATGCTGCTGTCATCTGGGTACATGTCTCTATGAGGACATAGATTTTCATTTGGCGTACACATATACCTTGGAGAATTGCTGGGCCCCATGGTACCTCCATGTTTAAGTTTGTGAGGAACTGCCAGACCACGTTCCAAAGTGGCTGCGCCGTTTTACATTGCCATCGGCAACGCACGCTGCCTCCGACTCCGATCGCTCCTCGTCTCCACCACCACTTGCTATCATCCAGCTCCTCCGTTAGAGCCGACCAAGTTGGGGGGAAGTGGTGCCTCGCTGTCGTTTTGACTTGCGTTTCCCTCATGTCCTCATCAGCCAAGGTTCAGTGTCAAGCGAGACAGGCAGGGCCCCTGCCCAAATGGGGATGGAGGCTACATTCCAGTGCAGTGGCCGAGCCTTAAATAGCTGGTAATTGCACAGCTAGTCAGTTAATTATGTCAGAATAAGTGCTACCAGCACATACATGCAAAACCGAGAGTAGTAAGGAGGATCCCGAGCAACTTTTTTGAGATACTGACTTTTTTTTAGTGACTTAAAAAATAGCATTTATTATTTCTCAGGGTGTTCTGTTGTCGGGGTTTTATTGCTGTTGTTTTGCAGTTCCAGCACAGCTTAGCTGATTCCTGCAGCTCAGGCCCCTCACAAAGCTTCCATCGGAGCACTGGGGCTTGTCCTGGGTGTTTGGGGTGAGGATCGGGGGGCCAGGATCACTTGTAAACTCTCTCACGTGGCTATCGTCAAGCCTCGAGTCCTCGCACTCAGTCGACTGGGAGATGAGACGCTGATATTTTGAAGGCACCTGGCTTGCTGGATGAGCCGGACTAAGCCAGCGTCATCTGAATATACTGGGAGAGAGGGACAGAACATGAAGCTGGAGAGGTGGGGAGGCCCAGAGTAGACCTGGGAAAAACTGGGGGACTCTATTCTGAGTACAAATGGAAGCCATTGATGGGTTTTGATAATGGAAGTGATTGATCAGAATTTTAAAAACCACTTTGGCAGCTGCAAAGCAAAATGGTTAGAGATGAACACAAGAGTGAGGGCAGAAAGATCAGTGCGAGGCTGTTGTGGTTGTGCGCAAAAGGGACCATGGCAGCGGGACTGGGGAGGCAGACGTGAGACAGGATGGCCCTCGTGAGGAGGGAGAAAGAGGAGGGGGAAAGGCAGCCCTCGGTGGCAGGAGGTTGGGGAAATGGGAAGAGAAAGTCGAAGATCCCCTCTAGGTCTTAGGTTTGGGTGCACAGTCACTGGCCGGGCAGGTGACCGGCAGCTGAGCCTGGGGTGGCTGGGAGCCGTCCCAGAGGAGGTGTCAAGGGAGTGGCCAGATTCTGCAACTTGGAGCCCATATGTCATCTTCACCTCCCCAAACACGGGAGAACACGTGTGCTGGAACAGCACTCACGCACGTCTTTGGCGTGGAACTCTCCCTGGCGTGAGCCTTCCCCTCCAGCAGAGTTGTACCACAGTCCCTTGGGAAGGCCCTGCCATTACAGGGGATGGCCTCGAGGTACTTCCTTCTGAAACAGGAAGGTCTGTGTCACTTCCCCCACACCCTGTGTGACTGGCTCCCCTGCTGGCCTCCCCTTTTGCCTTTCCCCATGACATGGAGACTAGTCCCCATGACAACACAGTTCTGGCAGCCCGGGCCAGTGCCTCCCAGCTGGGACCCCACCTCCCCATAGCAGTGGTCCCCTGCCTTCCGGGGCCTTGATGAGCACAGGAACGTGTGTGGACAGACCCACGCGTGCAGCTGAGGCCTCTGCCACCATCCTCACTGCTGCACGCTGCTCACTCAGCACGGCAGTGGGCAGGCTTCACCACCCATGGCTGCAGTGGAGGCCCGGCTGGGCCTGGCAGGTCCAGGGCAAGATTTCTGTGGCTTAGGCAAGGCTCACAAGAGGACCCGGCCCTGTGGTCATCGGTTTGCATCCATCTGCTTATGGCAGTCTGGGTGCTGACATGCTCCTCCACAAGGGACTGGATGGCTGGCCAGAATGCTCAGCCAGGAGTCGGGAGTCCTGACGCCTTGTCACAGCACACATCGGGACTCTAGACAGGCACTTCCCTGCCTCCTTTCCTTGGAACTGTTACCAAAGGGCAGGACAACCTCTAGGACCAGTCCAGCAGCAGGGTTTTATAACTCACAGGCGTGGTCACCTCAGCTGTTTCTCTCGCCTGTCCCTTTCTTAGTGCCCCAGGTCTCACTGACCCAGAAGTGGGCCAGAGACAGCAGGAGTCCTCCCAGCCTACATGTGGGTCCCAGCTGGGCATGAAGCTGAGCGCAGGCAGGAGCCCTCGGCAGGGGTGGGGCTGGGGTACCGGGCCGGCAGCAGGCGTGCCCCGGAGGGAAAGGTGGGAGCTGACCCTTCCCGCTGGGCCTTATCAGCAAGCTCCTCAGACATACACAGAGGCAAAGCTGTGTATACACTCCCAGTCCCCACGCTCCATCTGTCTCCCCACATGTCTAAACACTGAGAGCGCCGAGCGCCGGCCCTCCTCCTCCTCCTCCTCTTCACCCCACATTGCTCTGGGAGGTGGTAGACACTCAACACCCTTGAGGAGACAGGACCAGCCGAGGCAGGAAGGTTCACCTGGGTCAGGAGCAGCTGCTGGGTGAGAGTGAGAAGCCCTTAGAACCAGAGGCCAGGCCAGGAGCAGGGACCTGTTTGCGGCTGCCCAGCCCGCATACACCACCTGGGGGTTAGCTCACAGATGAAAACTGACATCTGGGGCAAGAACTTTCCCTTGGAGCCAGCTTTCTGGATGCCATCCCATGAGAAAGCAGGACTTGAGTTATTTTCATTTTTCAAATGAAGCTGATCAGTCAGACATGGGGTCTGGGGCAGCAGCCTTGAAGCCTGGTCTGTCACCCAGCGTTCACACGCCAGCGGACCCCGGCCCCTCCCAGCCAGTCTTCTCTCCGCAGCCTGAAGCCCAGGGCTCCTCCGGAGGCCACCGCTAAGCAGGTGGGGAAGGGGGGGCCACCTGGCAGGGGCAGATGTGAAGAGGACCCTGGGTGCTTGTGGAGACGGACATAGTGACTTTTATAACATTCCTGGGAGGCTTGTCCTCTCCTCCTCCTGACAAAGGGGAAAGAAATGGAAGCTAGGGTTCTCTGCACATCTCCTTAGATCTTAGAAAATGACCCTGTCCAAAGGATTCCCTTCCCCTCAGAGTGTAGCTTGTGGGAGCCCGAGCAGTGCGGATGGATGTGGATGTCCCCTCCCTGTGACTTTGCTCCCCAGGGAAGACCCGTTGTCTCACCGCCTGCAGCGGAGCCCCCAGGAAGGCAGGCAGGGAGGGGGCAGAGGTGACCTTATTCCAGTAGAGGGAACAGTTTTTGCTAGCTTTTCACCACCTCCAAGAATGGAAAGGCCGTTTCTGGCCTTCAGAGGTTTGCCAGAGTAAGGGTGACACCGGGCAGTCAGAGCTCCAGGTGGCCTCCCCTTTGCCTTGTTGGGGACTGAGAGGGACCACCAGACCTCCCAGCCCAGCCACCCCCACAGTCTTCTGAGCTTCGAGCTTTGGGATGAGCAGTGAAAGGCCAGGAACGAGGTGGTGGTCTCAGTGGGTCACTGGCGCCTGTCTCTCATACCTCCAGTGAGCACCACTCTGTCGTCTTGGTCGGGACACGCCCGGAAGTGCAACGAGACCGCCAAGTCCTATTGTGTCAATGGAGGCGTCTGCTACTACATTGAGGGCATCAACCAGCTCTCCTGCAAGTAAGTGACTAGTGGGGGTGGGGGCGAAAGCAGAGTGAGAGAGGCTGGGGCAGAAGTGGAGGGCTCTGGGAAGCATGGGCTTCAAGCCACTAACAAGGGGTCCCCCAGGGGTGTAGACAGGGAGGTGTGTCCCTCATCCTGGCATACAGGGAGCTATAAGCTCTGAAGGGCTCAGGGCTTCTGTGGTCCCACCAACCCCTTCTCCCCGGGTCCCCCTCTCACCACTGCCTTTTAGGGAGATGGGGAGGCCAGTCTATGACCTGAGTATTGGATTTGTTCTCTCTCTCTCTTCTCCCCTCCCCATCTCTTAGCAACTCTCCAAACGTTGTTCTGGTAAAGGTTCCCCAGGGTGTGTCTTCCCCAGCAGGGGGGAGCCTGGTGGGGTCGGGCGGAGCACCAGTCCTGGAGCCCGTGGGAGCTGAGGGTGTGCTCTTGGGGCCCTGAGAGGAGAAGAGCGCTCTGACTCCGGTCTCGCCCAGGGCCTAGCTGCCCTCCCTGCCTGGCAAGGCCCCAGCGTCCACAGATATGCCCTGGGTGCTGCCTGTGCCACTGCAGTCCCTAGGCCCTCTGTATGGGGGGGAGGGGAACCAGTGGGGACACTGCTCTGGATGTGACCCAATGGGAAAGGTGAGGGTTGAAGAGAAGCTCAAGCTGGGGCTTCCCTGCCCCTGCCCCAGGGGTCAGAGTCTGCTCTCCAGCCAGCAGGGCTGCCCCAGTAGGACCTCCCAGGAGCTCAGAACCAGGAGCTGCAGCCAGGGCAGGTGGGAGCCTAGTCATCAGAGAGGGCTTGTCCAGGCCCACCAGACCTTCTGGGGACCTGGCCTCACAGTAACCCCTTGACAGGTTCTCTGGTAGGTGAACAGGCAGGGGGCGCTTGGTGAGGTTAGAGCAGCTTCTGGCAGGATCCTGAGGAGTGGGAGGGGCGTCGTCTAGTGAACAACTTTGGGTTTTCAAAGTAGCTTGAGACTAGGGTCTGGCACAATGCCAAAGCTTCCCCATTCCCGTGGCATCTAGGCAAAGGCCACCAGAGTATTGATGGAGGTTCAGAGAGAGGCATTTGCCCTTCCCATGGACAAGGTCAGGTTCAGCACTCCTCGGCTCTTGAGGCCTGCTCTCCCTCCTGACTACAGCCTTAGCCCAGGACTTGTAAGACCCACCCAGCCACACAGTGATAATGAGGGGCCACGCCTCCTTCACACCTACCCACACCGCTGGGCTAGCTGGGTCGGGACTGCTGGGCAGATCCATCTCTCTTGCCCCAGCTGGCCTCCTTTGCTGGCTTCCTCCCCAGCCCCACCCTTCACCTGCTGCCATCCCCTTCCCTCCTTCCCTTCCTTATTCTCAGGGGAGGTCGCAGCAACAACAGCAGCAAGTCCCCCAGGGAAGTTCTCAGGCCAGACTCAGTCCCTCATGCTTTTCCCTCTTTCTGCCTCCAGTAGGCTGCCACATTAGTGCTGCAGACCCTGGGGAACATTCTAGCTTTGATAATGCTCTGAGCTCTTTGGAATAGACTTATAGAACTCGAAGGGTTCTGGAACACCTCACAGAGACAGCCCAGCCTTGCACTCCCTGCTTGCCCTACCCCCAACACACGTACGCCAGGCTTCTCCTCTCTTTAGCCCTTGGACTCTGGAATCTTGAAAGGGATCCAGCAAGGCCACTGAAGTCGGCCCCAGCTCCGGACAGGGAAGGCTGCAGCCAGCCAGGATGGGTGCCAGGGCCTGGGGGGCCCAGGACCCCAGAGCTAGGGAGTTCAGTGTGGGAAGGGCAGTGGTGACCTAATGGGCTCCCAGAAGGCCCTGCCACGGAGGCTACACCCTCAGGACCCCCTGGGTCCCACCAGCTCCACCTGAGAGGAATAGAGGGCAGGAACCTGGGCCACTGTGAAGATAGTGTCCTGTTTCTCCTCCCCAGTAGGGCACCTGGGGTCACTGCTTAGCACTTGAACTTGGTACCCAGAACCACCACCTCCTCATCTCAATCCACCCTGGAACCCACCTCCCTGACTCCCTGAGCCCTCGGGGGAGAGGGGCGTCCCTGGAGGGACCGCGGCCAGGAAGACAGGTCCTCAGAGCTGTGCTGGAGAAGGACAGGGTGGGTGGCCGGACAGAGCCCAGAGGCCATTCTGGGGGCGGGTGAGCTGGGGGGAAGGGGGGCAGGCCTCTTGGGGTTCCTGATGACACCTGAATGGAATAAAAAGGAGAGAACTCAGGAAACGGGACTCACGTCTTACCATTTGTGCTGTTTGTTTACTTTTTATTTTGATTTTTTTGCATTTCCGCTTAGCTTGGATAATGAAACTAGACTGGTCAGTTTCATTCCAGTTTCTATAAAAATCAGCTTTCCTTCCTGGTTTTCTGACACTTGTTGTTGTGTCCTGGTTCAGAGCCGCAGGGGGTGCTGGAAAGCAGGCACACTCCGCCCCCTGTTTTTCTGGAATTCGGAGCCAAAAGAAACAGTGTCACTGATCCTGCATTTTGTTTTTAAGAAGCAAACTTAGGGGGATTTGAAAATGGGGGTCCAAATCAAGGGGACTGCCTCCTGTCTGGGCCCGCAGGGCCTCTGCACTTCCTCCTGCTGCTTTCTCCTCTTCTCTCCGTGTTTTTGTAGAGCACGGTTGGTGCGTGACTCTTGGGGACTGGTTCAGGGGATGATGACAGAACAAGACTCTCTTTCCAGCCCTGTGCACATACCAGCAGCATGCCTCCCTTTCCCATCAGCTCATCCCCCCATTCCTTCTGCTCCCCTCACCCCATTTTCAGGTGCCTCCCCCATCCCACACCCATGTGCCTGCTCATCCTCCCATCACCACCCCACCCCTCACGAGGCCGGAGACCCTTCGCTCCCTCCAGTGTGCCCGGGGCACACCCTCATCCTTCATCCTTCCCCTCCCCCCGGGTGAGGGCAGCACACATGGCATTATCCTCAGGCTACCGAAGGAAGAAACTGAGGCCCTGGGGGTGGGCGGGAAAACAGGGAGGCAGAGTCCCAACCTGTCGCCCAAGATTCACCCATGGGCTCTCCTCTCTGCCCCTCTCTCATCCCTGCTCTTCTCCAGCCCTGGGCACAGGCCTTCCATAGTCACAGCTGCAGACTGGGGGGGGAAGAGCTCCTTCTAATCTGTCCCCTGTGCCCCTGTGCTGGTTAGTCTCCGTCTGAGTGGGAGCTGCCTGCGAGCCACTCTCACTGAGTACCATGCTACCTGGCCCTGGGTGCAGTGTAGATAGGCTGTAGGCCCAGCCCCAGAACCTTCTCTAGGGGAGTCCAGCCTCTTGGCCGTGATTCATTCTTAACAAGCAAGGCTAAGGAGAGAACAGGAGTGTCCAGGAGCCCCTGGAAGGAGCCAGTGCCCACAGAACAGCATGGGTATCAGTTCTTCCCACCCCTATGCTGTGCCCAACCCCCGCCATGTCCACGGCACCAACTTGAGTTGTGTGACGCAGTGGCCACTAAAGATAGAAGGTTTCAGTTAGGTTAGTCCAGGGTGAGTGCGGGATCAGGGACGCAGGGGTGTGCTTAGTTATCATTGGTCTCCAAGACCCATGGGACAGCCTCCCGGACTGTCGGCATTGGTGCAGTGGCAGTAAATTTCCCCTTTGTTTCCTCCTGCACTCCCTCATTGTCTTTCTCTTACACACACACACACACACACACACACACACACACAGGCATAGGTTTTCCCGTCTCCAAGAGCCGGGCTAATCTCAGACATTAGACACAATGAAACCTATCTCTTTCTTGTTCCTTTGTGATTCCAAGAGTCATTTTGGCAAGTTATTGGGTGTTTATCCTCCACCCTCAAAGGTGCTGCTGCTTCAAAAATCGACTTCTCCTCCTTTAGTTCCCATCCCAAAGGGGCATCAGTTTCTGAGAGCTGAGGAAGAAGAGCTGAGCCTGACTGGAGCTGTTTGGGAAGCCTTAGCCTTAGCCTTGGCTTTAGCCAAGACTTCCGTTCTCCCGGGCTGGGATGACGGCGGATGAGGGCCAGGGATCAGAGAAGGGTGCACTGAAAAGGTGGTGGCCTGCTCCTCCGAGCCACCCTTTCAGCAGGATGAGCGTGCAACAGTTTCACTTGTAGCCACCCTCCCACCTTCACCAGACACACTTCCCAGCCATTCCCCCTGCCTATGGGCCGGGCACACCTGCACACACACTGCCACCTCTACAGGCACACCTGCACACACACTGCCACCTCTACGGGGCTCAGCCCCCCACCCCCTGAGGGAGATGAGGTCAAGGCCCAGAGAAACCCCAGCTACCAGCTCACTGACCCCTCCCAACCCTCCGGCTGGATTAGAGGCCACAGGGTTTTCATGAGTGTCTATCACAGCCAGTGGCCCCTACCTCCTATGAGCTTAAGAGGCTACTGAACCTCTTTGTATACACTGGAACGCTAAGAGGTTGAGTACACTCACCTCTTGATTAATGCCGAACAGTGACCTATTATTAAGGGAATGCTGGTGGTGGGCTGGCCCAGTTTCCTAAGGAAGAAGAGGCAGAGGCATCATAGATGCATCTCTAAGTAGGGGAAAGGGGTCGGTCTGGCCCTGTCTGTAAGCTTCCCGGGGGTATCTGACCTTGCTGGGGTTCAGAAGAGAGTGCAGGGCTGGGCATGTCCCCCAGAAATCCGCAAGAGAGGGACTCACTTGAGGGGAGTGGCAGCCAAAGAGCAGAAGAACGTATACCCGGAGGGAAGGACAAATTCAGGGAGATGGAAGTGGTTGGCGCTTTGCAGCCCTAGAGGAGGCAACATGAGAGCATGGGCCCCCCGCCAGAGCCATGCAGGGATGGAGGAGCAGGTCATGGGGAAAAGGCAGGGGTGCCAGGAAGCCAGGCAGCCAGGAGGCTCCTGATGTGGACTGGGCTCCAGGGTCCCCGGGGAGCCCGCTCCAGCTCCCACATTAGCTCTTCCCATCTGAGGCCGGATGTCCTGCCCTGGCCTCGGCAGGCCGGCTTTGGGATGCTGGCAACTCCAGCTCTTCTGTAGTCTCCCTGCTCCCCACTGGGCTTTCCCACCTATGTTGCTCTAGGACAGCCTTCCAACAAACCATGTTACAAGGGTTCCTCAAAAAAAGACTTCCATAGTCAAATAAATTTGGGACATACTGGAAAGTTCAGCTCTTTCCTCCTACAAAACTTTTCATGTGCCAGCGGGCACTGCAGCTCCACAAGGAAGCATGGAAATGGATTTCCTAAGTTTGTTTGGCCATGGAACCCTCTTCAGGAGGACAGAAGAGCACCACAAACGCCCCGTGTGTCGGGGGCCTCCATCCAGCAACAGCATTCCGGAGTCCTCCTCTGAGCTTCCTGGGAGCTGTTTCACGGACGAGAAAGCCTGCCCAGGGCCCTGGAGAGAACCCTTTGGTAGGGCCTAGAAGGAATGGCCCCCCAGAACCTGGCGTTCCTAAAGACCCCAGCACCCTGCCTGCTGACTGCTTGGCACCAGGGGGCTGCAGTCCTGGCTTCCTGAGGCCCCAGGCAGGTCAGAAGGGAAATTCCAAGGGCCGTTAGAACAATTAGGTAGTAAGTTCCCCGTTTCCCTATCCTGCTTCCCTACATCATCCTCCTGCCCGCCCCACACCCTCCCACCACCCATGGAGCCACATCTATGAGAGAGATTTTGAAGGAGATTTCCAAGCCCTCCACCCAGCCCTGACTCCAGCCCCTTCCGCGACGAGTGTGCCCCAGCGCCCCACTTGGTTTTCCCATTCATCACTGTGCACTTTGATTTCTGACCTGAGCCTCGCGGATGATGCCAGTTTGTTCTGTGATTTTTCCCCTTTTCCTTCTCCAGATGTCCAAACGGATTCTTCGGACAGAGATGTTTGGAGAAACTGCCTTTGCGATTGTACATGCCAGATCCTAAGCAAAGTATGTTTGAAGATACAAACACACGTCCCCGCTCCTTAGAAAGCTTCCGGGTGCAGTCCCCCCCCCTCCGATGTAGGGCGTAGGGCCAGGGGTGTTGGTTGTTTTGATCTTTGGCTGTTCGTTTTGTTTATCTTTTCCTTTCTGTATTTTGGTTTGTTAGTTCTTTTTGTTTTGTTTTGTTTTGTTTTGCTTTGTTTTGTTTTGTTTTTCATTTTTGGCCTAATCCTCGGGTTTAAAGTTCAGGGCTGCAGGTAAGGGGCAGAGTGGCAAGGCCAGTACAAATGGTAACGTTGGCCAGGGACCCAGCTGGCACTGGCAGGAGCCCGTGCCAGGGTGTTGCGATGCCTGTGTCTTGCTATCCTGGCTCTCTCTTTCTGGTTTTCTTTCTTTTGGTAGGTGTCCTGTGGGATACACCGGGGACAGGTGTCAGCAGTTCGCAATGGTCAACTTCTCCAGTATGTCTCTTTCTTCTATTTCTTTTCTTCCCTGGTGACTGACAGTCTCCCCTGAGGGAGGGATGGGGCCTTGCTTAGCTAGACTAGCAAGGGACACGGGGGTGTCCTGGCCTCCTCTCAGTCCTCAGTGCTCACCAGAAGCCTGTGTGGAGGAGATCCATATGCCCCTGCCACCCTCCCCTCCAACGTCACTGTGCTGCCTGGACTCAGTAACGCCAAGTTCTCCCTGCAGCTGGCCGGAGCCGCTCAGGCCTCCTCACTGCTTCTGGGGTCAGGCAGCCTGGCCAGCCGCAGAGCCCTCACCTGCCTCTGAAGGCCTGTTTGAGGACGGCAGCTGCCGATGCAGCAGGGAAGGAGTGTGTGCATGTGTGCTGGTGTGCTCGAAGGGAACGAGTTCTCGGAAAGCCTGTCGGATCGGGCCGGAGTTGGTTGGGTCTGCTTTTAGGTGATGGGGGAGAGGAGAATAGGGGTTGAGGGAGAATGGGTCCCCTGGCAATGGTTTCCATGGTGGCCAGAGATGGGAGACATTTACTGAGGTGGGGGGCGTTGCTGCAGATGCCAGAAGGTAGAAGGACTGAGGAATCGAAAGGTAATTGGTGACACCCCGCAGGCCCTCTATGCTCTGAGTCCCCATCCAGGTGCTCATTCCCTCCCATTCTTCCACCGCTAAGGTTGGAGCTTTCTGGTGTGCACAGTTTGCTATTGGAGGGGCTGGGGCAGTGAGCCCTGCAGCAGAAGGATGAGGCCATAACTGTGCTTGGAGCTAGGAGCAATTCCCTTCAAGTGCCACTAGGTGGGGGTGGAGCAGAGCAAAAAGCCACAGGCCCACTGTGGACTCTGAGGCCCAGTGGTCTGTTGGCCCATAAGGCAGGACATACTTCTAGTGCACTTGGCCCCTGCTTGCCCTCCCCCAACCTCCTCTCCGGGGAGGGCAGGTGGATCCCATGAGGACGAGGACGTAGGAACTGCAGTGATGGGCCCTGGGCATGCACAGCTGGAGCTGCAGGCAAGACCGAGGGTGGGGCCCACGGGCGTCGAGGTAGGCCTTGGAAAAAAGGCTGCTCAGACTACAGCACAAAAGCCTAGAAAGTGCTACCCTCTCCCTCCCCTTCTCGGAGCCTGGAAGCCAAGGCCTGTGAGGAAAGTAGAGGCCCCAAGGAGGTAGGGGCTCGTTGGCCCAGATGGTCAACTATCTTAATAGAGTGTGGGAGGCAGCACTCTCCCCAGGCTCTTCCCATTGGAGGTCAGACGGGAAGGCCCTGAGGATGAGAGTAGAGCCTGTGGGCAGGGCACGTGGCCCTGCAGAATTCTCCAGAGCACAGGGTCCAGGAAGAACTGTAGTCAGATCCAGCCCCACTGGAGGACCATACGTCAGGAGGAGCCCCGGGATGGGGCAGAGCCGCGGACCAGGGGAGAGAGGCAGTGAGGGCCTATTCCTTTGCACCTTCAGGTCCAGAGCTCCCCTGGCCTACGGAACTGTTCTGGACAGGGAATCCCAGCCCATCCTAAATCAGAGCAACAGAGCCTCCGGAACTCGGCCACTGGCCAAGCTTCTCTGCCAGCTGGGCTGCTTCAGCTTTCAACTCAGATCTGCTGGGAGCTCAGAAAAGAGCCTGCAAATGCAGTCCTAAGCTTTCCTGCCTAGTGTTATCAGGATCTCTGCTGTTACCTTATTAGCGTTGGGTAAAGGAGTTAGACTCTTGAAGCACTTTGCCCGGAGCACTTCATGCAGTGCTCTGCAGATCATTGTTTAAAAGGTGGTGGGAGAGGCCAGCTTAAGTGTGCAAGCTTGGGACTCAGATAGGCCTGAGTAAAAATGCCAGCTTCTGAGCTTACTAGTTCTGGGGCCTCACTTAACCCCAGAACTAGTTTTGTGTTTTACAGGTGCAAAAACAACCCTTGCATTCGCATCCGTAAAGTGGGGATAATAACACTCCTGCCAGTAGGGCTGCTGTGAGGGCGAAATGAAGCGATGCATAGGGAGCACTCAGCAGAGAGCCTGCCATGGCTGTCTGAGTGCGGTTTAGGCTGGAGGGCCAGCACCAGTCCCCTGGAGGCTGACTTCCAGCCTCTGGAGCCCTGCTCACTTCTCCAGATGGTCCTTGTCCTTGGGCTAGCCAGTCAGGCCTGCCCAGAGGCCCAGTGGGCAGAAATACCCATGGTTTGGCCACAGGAGACCCGAGACCTGGCCACTAGCCTCCCTGCTGCCTCCTCATTTGCTGTGTGACCTTAGGAAAGTGTTCTCACACCACTGGGCTCCAGCCACCGCATCTAATACAACAATAATCAACAGTGGGCCCAGACTTGCTCTCTGAACTATAGTCTTCTTAGTGTCCCAAGTGCTGCAGTCAAGCTAGGCTGTTCTGTCTTAGGAGGTATGGCTGGATAGCCGAACAGTGCAAACTCTCTCAGTGACCTGGAGGGTCCCTTGGGCCAGAGGTTCCATTACTCATGGAACGTCACCCCTGAGGCTGAGGGCTCGATTCGTCAAGTTTGTACTGTCTACTTAGCACAGGAAGAGGAGTGGACTCACTATGCTTATGGTGACTCGTACTCCAAGCAGTAGGACTGCAAAGAAGCCACATTCAAGGTCACTCCCAACCTTGCATTTAACAGAAGGGCTGGGGTATATGCTTCAAGGGTGTGGTCTATTGGGGGTCATGAAACTGAGGGTCAGAGCCCAAGATCACCCTTGAGCCTCTTTCAGTCAAAGCCATCTTGGTCCCTGGCTTAGAACCACCTTGCTCTCCTGCCCTTTTCCAACTGTAGAACCCTCTGGAATCCCTGAGGAAGTAGAAAGAGACCCAGAGACAGACAATGCACAGGACTTCCTGCTGATGTCCCAGTGATCCCCTTCCTCCCAGGGGATGAGAACACCAGGACACAAGCTCCTCTGCCCCCAATCTAGCTGAGCTCACTGCGTGCGTGTGGGGAGGCCATGGTGAGGGCCCTGCACCTGTGCGGTGCCTCACGCTCTCCTGACCTGCTCACACCTAACCCCTTACTGTGTGCAGACACTTTAGACCTACGAGCAAGCAAAGATTATTACTTGCCCACATCCATGTAGCAAATCAGGGGCAAATCTGAGCCTCAAGGCCTGCAGTGAGGAGCTGGCTACATGAGAATGAATGGTAGGCAAGGATTTCAAAAAACGCTGCTGAGATTTATGGGCTCCCACCCCAGACTCTGACTTCAATGGTCTGGATGATTCTGAAGCACAGCCAGGTTGCAAACCGCCCAGAGGTGCCATGGTCAGACCTAACCCCCTTTTAACAGCTGAGAGACCGAGAGCTAGGCAGACGGGGTATGCTTAGGGTCACACCCTTGGGCACGACCCTTGGATAATATGGGCACACACCTCACACATTTGCAACACGATCTCACTTTAAAGAGTGCAGTTGGCCCACCACTTAAAGGGCACAGGTGTTCCACAAGTGAACCCACTTGTCTCTTTCTCTTTCGGAGTTGCAGTTTGCTTTGCTCAGTTGTGAAATCAGGGGTGGACCTTGAGGCCAAGTGCCTCAGGGTGTTGGGGGAGTCCAGCAGAGAAGTGACTTGCCAACTGGAGCTTCTTCCTCTCCCCACTGCAGCCCCCACAAACTGAGTCTCCATGCCCGAGCTCCTAGTAGATGGGCAGGCCGGCTGGTCCTGTGGGGTCAGGACAGGGGCAAGGGGCCAGTCTGAGCCCCACACCCTCTTCTGAACAGAAAAGTGAGCTCCATGAATGAACTGGGGACTGAGCAAGCTGTTTCCAGGAGGGGCTTGAGAGTGCTGAAGGCCTGGCGCTGGAGCTGGGAGGGGGTGAATGGGGACTCGTCAGACCCCCACCCCCACTCACCTTTCCTCCCTGGGGACACATGCCAACTGACTCTTACGCCTCTGCCTCCACCAGGTACTAACCCCACAGCTCATCTCTAAAGAACCTGCCCTGCCTGCCGATCCTAACATTTCCTCTCTCCACCCCTTTCAGGGGCTCTTGGGGACAGGGTGCCAGGGAAGGGGCTCAGGAAGCTGGGAGGGGACGCCACTAACCTGCTTTCACCTCACAGGCTGGCTGCTGGTGTCTGAAGAGTCCTGACCAACGTTTCTCTCTCTCTCTCTCCCGCCCTCGCCCTCCCCCATCTCTCTCTGTATCTCTCCCTCCATCCCTTCCCCTCTCTGACCCTCCTCTCTTCTGCACTGCCAGAGCACCTTGGATTTGAACTAAAGGGTACGGAGCCTTCATTTATCACTAAGTGCCGTCTGTCCACTCCACCCCTTTCCACAACCTCTGATGTCACGCGTGCTAGTGTGTGGCTTCCTTTCCCAACCATGGAAAAAGGGTGGTTCCAAAAGTCTCCCCTGGCCCCATTAAGGTGTCCAGTCATAAACTACTTCAATTTGGGAGAGACACGAAAAGCTCATGGGCGTCATTCTGTGCCCAGTGCATGGTACCCCCTGCCCAGGGCTGATCGCTAGGAGGCCTCCCAGGGGCAGGGCCTCCTGAGCCATGGGCAGCCCCTGGGCTGGGCCCTCAGAGTCAGTGCCTGGAAGCCACGGCACGTTGGTTTAGAGAGTTGTGCAGAGAGGCAGCACTTTCCACTTAACTTGAGTCTCCCTTCCTTCGCCCATTTCCACCTCCATTGCTTTTCATCCTGCGCCAGGCTGGTGGCTGAGAGCACCATCTCTGCCCACTGCCCTGGATCAGCCATGCTTTGCCATCTGCTTGAGGCTGTCACTTCCCCCATGATCTGTCCCCACGATGGCACATGTGTTCGTCTGTAAACAAGGGTCTAGGGTGGGTCATCCTCTGGTGCCTGTCCTCCTACCGCCCCACCCCCGCTCAGTGGAGAACCTTACCTCCCTCCCACTCCTGCCCTCTGGCCCCTGGAAGACACCTCGGATGGGAAGGGACTTGGACGGGTTGGTCTGTCCAGCTTTCTGGCTTGTGCTAGGGGGCTCCACCGGGCCTCAAGTGTCCAGATATTTTGCAGCAGGAAAGATGGAGGGGCTTGGAGAGGCCAAGGCTTCCTCAGTGTCAGGCCTCTGACGTGGTGTGGAGCCCACAGTCATGAAAAAGCTGTTCGTGTGGCAGGTTTGGGGAGGCCCCAGCGTCCCCAGCACCCAGCCCTTATCAGCCGTTCTCAGTAGAAGCTAAAGCCAAAAGTCTGTTCGTGAGAAAGTGTCTGCCTGTTGCCCGTGACGGGGTGGGTAAGGAGCGAGGCTGACTCTGGGTGGTGTCCATGTGGTGGTGGCAGGGTGCGCAGGGGTGAACCTGCAGGTGTGTGTGCGTGCGTGCGTGCGTGCGTGTGGAGGGTGGAAGTGTTTATACCTGTTAGGTCTCTCAGGATGGCAGTGCACGGAGTGGGGCAGCGGGGTGCTTTCCGTCAAGGGTGGAGCACTGTGCCGTGGAACTGAGGGTGTGGAGGTGAGCGTGAGCCTGTGTAAATGTGTCTGTCCATCATGGTGGTCTGCACATCCATTAACTCTCCAAGTCAACAAACATCCGCTGAATTCACCAGTCTGGCGATGCAGCACACAGAGTCAATGTCTTCCTGGCACTCAGATTCACAGGATGAGACAGACAATAAAACAAACTGGAAGGCCATCAGGTGGTGGTAAGTGCTATACAGAAAATAAAAGAAGGTAATGGGATAGTGCCTAGCTGGGGCGGGAGCTGGTTTAGCTAAGTAGTCAGGGAAGGCTTGTCCGATGAGATGCCATTTAGTGACATGAGAAGTAGCCAGCCTCCCAAAGAGCTGGGGGAGTATTTGAGGCAGGGGCACGAGTCAGGGATGGTGTGGCTGGGGCGGGCTTGCCTCATTCAATGGGCGGAAACTGCCCGTGACTCTGGAGCACAGTACACCTGGGAAGAGGACCATAGGTGAGATCTAAGAGGACGGGTGGAGCTGGGTAATCTGGGGCCCCATAGGCCATGATGAGGCTTTGAGTTGTATTCCAGCTGCAGTGGAAGTCATTGTTAAGTTTTTAAGCAGGAAGTAAAATGATCTGCTTTATGGCTATAAATCAATATGGCTTTTGGCTGGAGAACAGACTGGGTTGGTGTTCAGGGTGGGGAGGAGTGGAAGCAGAGAAACCAATCAGAAGGTGACCAGCTGTCCAAGTGAGAGATGGCATCATCTTGGACTAAGTTGGAAGTGGTAGAAATGGTAAGAAGTGGTCAGATCCAAGATCTACTTGAGAGGTGGAGCTGATGGATCAGGTACCAGGGTAGGTGGGAAGGAAGGGAAGGGAGGGGCCTGAGTAACAAGAAAGGTGGGGCTGCCACTGACGAAATGAGAAGAGCAGGGAGCAGGCTTGGAAGAGGGACCAGTGTTTGTGCCAGGCCATGGCCCTTGGGTGTGGGAGTCTGGGCTCAAAGAGAAGTGAGCAGTAGATGTAAATCTGAGTCAGCTGCAGACAGGTGGCATTTGAAGTTTGAGTTTGGGCCTGGCTGGTGTAGCTCAGTGGATTGAACACAGGCCTGTGAACCAGAGGAGCGCGGTTCGATTCCCAGTCAGGGCACATGGCTGGGTTGCAGGCCAGTTCCCTGCAAGCCAGTTCCCAGCAGGGGGCGCACGAAAGGCAACCATACATTGATGTTTCTCTCCCTCTCTCCTTCCCCTCTAAAGATAAATAAATAAATAATCTTTTTTAAAAATAAATAAATAAAGTCTGAGTCTGGGTAAGATCACAAAGGGAAAGAGGGCAGGTGGAAAAAAAAGAAGCCTGAGAGCTCTGGGCCCTTCTGCCTTGCAGCCCACACGGAAGAGGAGGGAGGGGAGTGGCAACTGAGACAGCTACCAGCCAGTGAAGGGGGAGAAAACCCAGGCGAGAACAGGAGTGGGCCCAGCAGGGGCAGTCGGCTGAGAGGCTGTCAGAGACCGAGACCAGAGTGGTCTGAGAGGAGCAATGGAGACAGATGTCTGGCGGGATAGGACCGAAGGGTAGACGGGGAAGAGGACTGGAAGCAGGATGACCACAGAGCACTGAGACGGGGGTCCGGGCTGGAGGGCTGTTTGTCCAAGAAGTCACATGACTGCGTGTCAGTGGACAGGACTGCACGTACACGTGTGTGCATGTGCACGTGTGCTTCTGCGGATGTGTGTGTGTGGATGCGTCTTTGTGAAGGGCATCTGCCTGTGTGTCAGGTACGCAGAGTCCTGTAGGTATGTGTATCTGGGCTTTGTTCCCCCAGGTGTTTGCTGGTGGGTGTACCTTTGCCACAAGAGATGCAGCAAAGCCTGAGGGTTTGGAGACTTTCCCAGGGCTCCACCAAGGCACTGAGGTCCAGCCTTCACTCACCCCCACGCTGGCAGGAGAGGAGCGATGTGAAAGGGGCAGCCAGCAGGGCTGGGTGGGCGGGTGGGGCGTCTGGGGTGTTCGCCTTGACTATGCCTGGTACTGTCACCTCTTTCCTTTCCTTTCTCCTGCTTTCTCTGTCCTGGAAGGGTAGGGACGCTCCACCAAGAAGTGGGAGGTGGAGCGGCTAGTCAGGTCTTTCTGAGGGCTTTGAGGCCCAGCCCAGCTCTGCTCCTCGGAAAGGGTGGGGCTGTACCTGGAGCACAAAGGCTGTGCTGCCACTGACGGGCTTCTCACAACCACAGACAGGGAGGGCAGGTGTGAGCTGGGGCCGCGGCCCTGACCAGGCTGCAGGGGCAAATGAAGGCCTTTCCCCTTGGGCCTGGTCTGCTCTGTCCAGCCTCTGGGTCAGATATCCCATCACCAACCCAGAACAAGCTACTCTCTATCTTCTTGGAGAAGCTGCAGTAGCAAGCCAGGCCTCTGCCTGGGGTTGCCATGTTCACCACCATAAAGAGCAGCTCCCCCAGCTCATCAAGGTTCTTTGCAGCCACCAGGCCATAGTGGGACAGGCCAGGGTTGCTGGCCAAGCTGTATTGCCCTCCTCTATGGCCCTGGGAAATTTGCCTCCATGCTCCCCACCCCATTGCCCTACATTTTCCACTCACATGCCCTGGGCAGGGCATAGGGTTTGGGAAGGTGAATGCGGGCATAGTCACTTGTGAGTGACACCAGATCCGCAGGTGGGTAGAGTTCAGGGAAGTAGAAGGCAATCCAGGAGCGGGCGGGCGGACGGGGACTGCTGGGGAGGGAGGGAGGGAGAAGAACTGGGCAGAACCTGAGCTGGAAAAAGCCCAAGGCTCTGGGGGCAGGGGGTGTCTCTGCGCCACTATTGCCACAGGCCCATCTCCTGCCTGGCCCCCTCACATCTCATGCCCTTGCAGAAGCCGAGGAGCTGTACCAGAAGAGGGTGCTGACCATCACTGGCATCTGTGTGGCTCTGCTGGTTGTGGGCATCGTCTGCGTGGTCGCCTACTGCAAAACCAAGTGAGTGACAGGCGCTCAGGCCAGGACTGGCCATGCCAGGAGTGGGCCTTACAGAGACTGCTGTGTGAGGACCGGCTCTCTCACCCCCACCGCCACCTATGGTGCCTGGCCTACCCCCAACACAACACCTTCATGTACCCCTGCTGCCCTCTGCAGTTCCTGTGGGCCCAAAGGGCTAGGCCAAGGGGCAGGAACAGAAGGTGGGGGAGATGGGCTTCAGGGGACTGAGTAGGAATGGTCCTGAGCACAAGCATCATAAGAAGACAGATCTGGGTTTGAATCCAGCTCTGTAATTCCCTGTGCAACCCCGAACAAATGGGTGAATCTCTCTGAGTTCACCTGTGAAATGGCCAGGACTTAGCATGTCCCTTGGAGGGTGCTGTGAGGGAACATCTTCCCTTGCCCAGGAGCACCCTCTGGGCAGCACTGCAGGTGGGGAGTGTAGAGAGGCGGAGTATGTTCCCAGAGGAAAGAGACCTCGCAAGGCACTGGCCCCACCTGGAAGCAATCCAGGCAAGAACACAGGAGAGAAGGTAGGGTTGGGTCACCCCTGGGCCAAGGAAAAGTAGGGGTAGAACTTTAGGGCAAGGGGAAGAAAAGGGCAGAAAGGGGTCTGGGCAGTTCTAGGAGAGGGTCAGCTATGTTCCTGGAGCACGAGCAGGAACCCAGGAACCCAGATGGCACCATCAGGCCTTGAATGCCAAGCTAGGGATGCTGGATTTATCCTGCAGGTAATGGGGAGCCAACAAATAGGACAGAGCCAACAAAGGTGATAGAGTGATGTAGGGCAGAAAAATGCAAGATTTGTCACATTCTTGTCTGGAGAGCAAGAGTCTGGGCATAGCCACCATTTGGGAGACTGAGGCCCTGGGTCTTGAATCCTCTTACACCAACATGGAATGCAAGGCCCTGCTAGCCTTGTGCTGGATGAGCCCAGGACCAAAGAGGTCAGAGGGGAGGAATGGAGGGCGTTGGGGCTCAGGGAGGGGAGACTGGGCCCAAGTAGGAAAATTGAGGCTAAGAATTAGAAAGCAAGCCCCCCTGTCCCAACCCCCACTGTACTTATTCATTTCCTCAAGAAACTCTCATTCAATGAATGCTGGACACGAGGCCCTGCCCCTTGGCCAGGACCCTAAGCATGAGGTCCAAGGTCACAGGACCAGTGTTCAGGGCACCCAGACTCCGCTGGAGGGCGGGAAGGGTTTCCTTGAGGAGGAGCATTTAGGCTGGGCCTGAGAGATGAACAGGAGTTAGCCAGTGAAGAGGCAGAGAATGTGCTCCTGTTGATATAATAGTATGTGCAAAGGCCCGGAGGCCAGAGGGGGTGGGCCTAATAGAGGATCAGAAACAGGCCCCCCAAAGGTTGCAGCAAGGTGGGATGGGCAGAGACCAGTGAGAGATGGGGCTGGGGAGAAAAATGGGACCTGAGGGCCAAGGAAGGGCGTTAAACAGGGGAGCAGTGTGATTAAGACCCACTGATTACAAAATGAAGGTAATGAGCATTTAATATATACCAAAGCAATGTAGCCCCACCCCCAGGCCTCAGCTTCTGACCACAGCACTCTGTCTTATTTTCTTCATAACATTTGGCTGGAAGTATCTGGTTCACGCATTGGTTTATGTTTATCATCGGCCTCCCTACCGACCTGCAAACTCCTTGAGAGCAGGGACCATGTCTGTCTCCTTCTCTGCTCCAAAACAGCATCTGGCACGTAGTAAAAAGCCAATAAATACCAAACGAATGAATGAGTGAGTGAGTAGACCAGCCCTGTGCTTAAATATTTTATCTACTCTTAATCCTTAGCGGTATTCAGGATGGCTAAACGATCACCCCATTTTACAGATGAGGAAAGTGAAACATGGAGAGTTTAAGTAACTTGTCCATCATTACACACCTGAAAAGTAGTGGAGCTTGTTCTCTCTCAGCAGAGCTAAAACTCGTTACCTGCTGAATTCAGGCTGGTGGTGACGGTGTAGGGGCAGACTGGGGGGTCCTGGCTGAGGGCTACACTGCGAGGCTGCCACAGCAGTGCAGGCAGAGGAGACTAGTGCCCCTGGAGGGGCAGCTAGGGGAGTCCATACACCGTGTGGGGGCATGCCAGGCTAATGTGCCCTTCCCCTGCGCAGAAAACAGCGGAAGCAGATGCACAGTCACCTCCGGCAGAACATGTGTCCAGCCCATCAGAACCGGAGCCTGGCCAATGGGCCCAGCCACCCCCGGCTGGACCCGGAGGAAATCCAGATGGCAGATGTGAGTGGTGTTCCCAGGTCCCCCTCTGAGCCCTCACTGTACAGTCAGCCTTCTTGTGCCCCTAAAGGATGGGCCAGGGCAGCGGCCAGCCAGCCCCTCCTGCGCTAAGCCTTGCTTGCTAGCCTCACCGGGATGACTGGCCTCTCTTTGCTGACTTCTTTAAGGAAAGGCGGTGGGGGCCACTTACAGGGACCATCGCTGCCCCAACACCAAGTCACTGATCTCCCATCCACCAACCTGGAGCTTAGTGCCTCACTTCCCCGTTCCCACCGGAAAGGAGGGCCAACCCCACTGCCTGTCACTAACTCCTGCCCAATTCTCTGTTCCAGTATATCTCCAAGAACGTGCCGGCCACAGACCACGTCATCCGCAGGGAAACTGAGACCACCTTCTCCGGGAGCCACTCCTGTTCTCCGTCTCACCACTGCTCCACAGCCACACCCACTTCCAGCCACAGGTGAGCACCACCAAGGTCCCCATATAGATGTGCACCCACGGAGAGCGAGGACACATGCATCACACACCCACCTGGGGACACACACAGAAATCCCCAGCCAGGCTCAGAGGGTCCCTCTGAGTGGGAGGATTCAGGTGGGGTCCTCCAAATCAGAACCACTGGCAAACATTCATCCAGATGCTCAGGGGACCAGATTCGCTTTTCCATCTAAACCAGCCCCCCCAGAGGAACAACGGCATCACTGCGCTCCCACCTAATGGTTAGTTTTCCTTGAGCCCCATTAGCACCATTTTCTCTGGCAGAAAGTGCCAACTCATGTAACCGCCCAAAGCTTTTTAATGCCCTGTCCTGGATTTGCCCACAGGACTCTAGTCCACCTTAGCTTCCTTCTCCCCAGAGTTGGGGAGGCCTGTCCACAGAAGCGCAGAGACTCCCGCAACTCAGAAATAACGTGGTTGGGCCCCTTCTTCCCTGGGGACCAGCGTGCCCTAGGCAGGCTCCCACGTACTAGCCCCTGGGGCTGGGCTCCTGACATAAGAGAGATAGCTAAGGATCATAGGATTGGGAGAGCCATGGCTGGATGGTGAGATGTGGGGGTACAGGGAGGAAAAGAAGAGGTGTGTGCATGCCGCAGTTCACCCATCCACAGGACCCAGCCCTCCTTCTCCCTGTGTTGGGGTCCAGCATTTGTGATACCACACATTGGGCCCCCAGTGGAGAAGGGCAGTGAGCTGAGGGAGGCTGAGATGAGATAAAGAACCAGGGGGGGAGTGGGCCTAGGACCACACATGGTATGTTGCCCTGCCCCGTCTGGACCCTCCACCTCACCCTCTCCTGGCTTTTTCAGGCACGAGAGCCACACATGGAGCCTGGAACGTTCTGAGAGCCTAACCTCCGACTCCCAGTCAGGCATCATACTGTCATCAGTGGGCACCAGCAAGTGCAACAGCCCAGCATGTGTGGAGGCCCGAGCACGGCGAGCGGCAGCCTACAGCCTGGAGGAGCAGCGCAGGACCACCGTGCCACCTTACCACGACTCCATAGACTCCCTGCGAGACTCTCCACACAGCGAGAGGTCAGCTCCCACCCCAGGGCCTGCGCCCCACCTTGGCCGGAGAGCCAGCCCCACCAACCCAGGGAGCACCCTTCCTCAGAGACAGCCTAAACCACAAACGAGCTCTAAGAGATCTGCTCAGGGTCTTCACCATGTTAATGACAGAGACTGAATCTATGGCTGGGCCAATGACCCTGGTGTGCAGTGACCATCTAATTTAATTGTCCTACTAGGACACTTCTCAGAGTAGAAGAGGGGCTGTCCCAAACAAACCAGGACTTAGGGCTGCCTCACCCTGTTGTTACCTAGGGGCCCCATGTCCCAGCAGGAACAGAAAGACCCCAAGATTGAGCAGACTGGAGGGTGGAGGGAGAAGTTGTCTGTGAGGGAACAGACCAATGCAGGCTGGCCATGGGCCAAGAATAACTGTGGGCCCCGGCAGTATCAGCAAGGGCCTGTGGGTCAAGACACCCACCACTGGGTTCCCGAGTAACTGGTGCAGCGAGGACCAGGCAACTCCCTTCTCCCCTGACCCCAAGCCAGAAGTCACAAGGGCCAGGCCCCTTCCTTGCTCAGCCTTCAAGTGGCCTTTGGCCAGTGGGCTTGGTGGGAGGAGAGCAGAGTACCAGGAGTTCCAGGCCAGGGTGGAGAGAGAAGAGCAGATGATCTGTTCTCAACTCAGCCTACTCCGTGCTGTCTACACGCCAGGCAGGCCTGCTGGGGGACCCACCTGGTTCTTGCTCCCAGGGAGCTCCCGGCCACGGGTACAAACCGCTGAAGCTCAGAGCTGCCTATGTGGAAAGTGCTAAGCATAGGACACCCAACCCAGGCAAAGCAACCCAGTGGACTATATAGGCTCTGGGAAGCGGCCAGGTTTTCTAAGAGCAACCTTTCCAAACCCAGTTCCACCACCTGCGTGATTCTGGGAGGGTTGATCACCTCTGTGCCTATGTTTCCTCAGCTGTAGAGCAGGGAGAACAATGCCTGTCATCATGGCTCTGGTGACAGCCACCAGAGATCACTTGCACAGAGCTCTTTGCCTCCTACCCGGCGTGGAGTTGGTGTTCACTAGGTGTAGCCATTGTTTTCAGTAGCAAAAGGGCTCCCTCGCAGTTGGGAGGTAGAGAGATGGGGAAAGCACACGGGGAACATCTCGAGCTGTTCTAGCAGAGGCCCTTCAGAACATGGCTGGTGAGCTGGATGCCTGGAGTAGAGTGAGCTGTGGGGAGAGAAGCTGGGCCCGAAAGGGCAGGCTGAGGGACCTAGGCTTCTGTTTGGGGAGGCGGGGGCCTTGAGTGGGTAAACAGAGCTGGGACTTTAAAAGGTTGCTCTGGGTACTTGAGACAGTGAAGGAGGAGAGACCCTGCTGGGGGGGTGCTGACCAGAGTAAACCACTAGGCCCAGGATGGGGTGGCACAGGGCAGAAGGTGTGGCTCCAGGACAGGGAGAATGGGTACAACTTGGTGGTTAATTGGATGTGCACGTGATAGAGGGAAGAGAGGCGAGTCAGGTAATTCAGAGAGTAAGGGGGACTCCGCAGAGCAGTGTAGTGCGGGCTCTAAAATTTGGAAGAGAGGCATGGAGATGGGTGGTCCCTGTACTGAAGTGGACAAATGTTGAGCAAGAGAGAGGCTAATGGATTTCAGCAAGGGGGTTGTGGAGAAAGTAAAGGGACAGGTACCTGGGACCCAGAGTGGGAGATATTAGCAAGGGACAACTTTGGGAGGTGGTCTTTAGCCCCCCGAGCAGGGACACTTCCATAAGTGGTATCTTGGTAACTGTCAGCCCTGGGCTGAGAATCCTATATGAGGTGTTAGCAGTCACTCCCGAGGCAGCTTTTAGCTTCAATATATGAAAAAAATATTTCTTCTACTGACGCCATCAGCCATGGGATGGTTGTTCGTGAAGTAACAGTGAGTCCAAGTCACAGGAGAGGCTAAATGGCATCTGGCATCTAGTGACTTCTGGAATTGGGCAGTATGAATCCTGGTTCCTGCCTACCCTCTCTTCAAATCCCACCTCAACTACCTCCCTGGCTGTGTGAACCTTTAGTAACTTAAATTTCTAGGTATCAGTCTCCTCACATGCCATATGGGATAACATAGGATCTTGCAGAATTAGTGTATTAGATGAGATCCTACAAGTTGTCAAATGCCCCAGCCTGAGCCTGATGGAGGGTAACCGTTAGGGAATAGTGATGACTGGGCATCTGCACAGCAAAGAACCATTCACGGAGGTTTATCGAGGGTCAGGCAGGCACTGGGCTATAACATCCTACTGATACATTTATGGATTCGTGGTTTATCCCCGCTTAACAGATAAGAAAACCGAGGCTCAGAAAAGTTAAGAAAATTGCTTAAGGTCACTGAGGATTACCACCATAGCTCTTGTGGGCGTTCGCGTCTCCGTTTGCCCAGGTCCCCAGCCCCCAGCCCACACCTCTGCCTCTCCCACAGGTATGTGTCGGCCCTGACCACACCTGCGCGCCTCTCTCCGGTGGACTTCCACTACTCACTGGCCACGCAGGTGCCCACTTTCGAGATCACGTCCCCCAACTCTGCGCACGCCGTGTCGCTGCCGCCGGCGGCGCCTATCAGCTACCGCCTGGCGGAGCAGCAGCCGCTCCTGCGGCACCCCGCACCCCCGGGCCCGGAGGCCGGGCCCGGTGCCGACATGCAGCGCAACTACGACAGCTACTACTACCCGGCGGTGGGGCCGGGGCCGCGGCGCGGCGCCTGCGCTCTGGGCGGCAGCCTGGGCAGCCTGCCCGCCAGCCCCTTCCGCATCCCGGAGGACGACGAGTATGAGACTACGCAGGAGTGCGCGCCTCCACCGCCGCCGCGCGCTCGCGGCGCGTCCCGCAGGACGTCGGCGGGGCCCCGGCGCTGGCGCCGCTCACGCCTCAACGGAGTGGTGGCACAGCGCGCACGCGCGGCGCGGGACTCCCAGTCTCTGAGCAGCGGTTCCGGAGGCTGCTCGGCCTCAGCTTCTGACGACGAGGACGACGCGGACGGGGCCCTGGCGGCAGAGAGCACGCCTTTCCTGGGCCTGCGCGCGGCGCACGAGGCGCTGCGCTCGGACTCGCCGCCGCTGTGCGGGGCGGCGGGGGACAGCAGGACTTACTACTCCCTGGAAAGCCACAGCACCCAGGCCAGCAGCAGACACAGCCGGGGGCCGCCCGCGCGGGCCAAGCAGGACTCAGGGCCCCTCTAGGGCCCGCCCTCCCCACTCCCCCGTCTTTAAGGAGAAGGGAGACCACTGACTGGAGAAAGGAGGAGAAAAAGAAATAAAAAATATTTTTATTTTCTATAAAAGGAAAAAAGTATAACAAAATGTTTTATTTTCATTTTAGCAAAAATTGTCTTATAATACTAGCTAACGGCAAAGACGTTTTTATAGGGAAACTATTTATATGTAACATCCTGATTTACAGCTTCAGAAAAAAAAAAGAAACAACAAAAAAAAAGAGAGATGGGCCAATTTTTTGACTCTTTAATAGAAACCTATATTGTGGTGCCTTTTGCTGTACGCTAATCTGGAGCTCCTGGAGAAAAGTCTGGGTTGCGGGGCGGGGGTGGGGGGATGTAGGATCCCGAGCTGGTGGGGGTGAGAGAAAAGGGGCAGAGAAGAGGCTGCGGGGTTGGGGGGCGGGGTGAGGTGCGGGACAGTGATGGATTGGCCCTTTTCCCCCTTGCAAGATCTTTAGTCCTGGGCCCCCTAAGGAAAGGCTAGGGATCCTAGGCTTGGAGTTAGAGTTGGGTCATGTCACATACAAAGGGAGACTAAGGCCCAGCGACAGCAACCTGAATGGGGAGGGGGCCTCCCCACTCCTCACAGCTGCTAAGGGAGGGGGCACTGAGAACCACCAGGTCTTCCCAACAGTCCCTGCCCCAGGGAGGGGGCAGCTCTGCCAGGGCCCCTGGTGTTCAAGGCTCCTCCTCCCACGGCCTCCAGGATGCCCTCGTCCTCTGCAGCACCTTCGTTTACAGGTCGTCTTTTCTATTTTACGCCTGCATGTCCTTTGCATTTCAGATTCTTTAGATTGGATGCATGGTCGCGCTGGGACCGAGAAGAGCCACTGGACAGTCTATTTGATCCCCCTTTTAGCAATAAAGTAACACCATTTCCTTCTCAGTCCGACTCCCAGCCACCAACCCACCTATGACTTCCACTCCCTCTCCAGCCCCATCCTTCCCACCCTCCCCAAAACTGGGTCCACTGCTAATTTGTCAAAAGGTAATTGTTTAAAAGATATCCCAAACAAATGGGAACCCTGTTCTGAATTGTCCAAACACCTGACTGTTGACACTTGAACATTTTTATATTATAAATAAAATCAGAAATAACTCATGTTTGACTGTGTGTGCCTAGCCCCCAGGCGAGGAGGGCAGACAGAGGGTGAAGACCTGGGGTGGAGATGGATGGATGTTGGGGTGGAAGTTGGAGAGGGCCAGGGTAATCCCTGGGAGGAGAAGACACTCCCTCCCATCTCCCTGGCTCCAGTTCCCAGGACAGGCTCCAACCCTCCTTCTTCCAAGAACATTCGCAAGGTATCCCCTCTGGCTGCTGGGGATCCTGGCCAAGGGGCTGACGCAAATTAGTCTGCTTCAAGCTCAGCCTCAGAACCCCGGCCCAGTTCCTGTCCTGAAGCTGCAGGACCTGACTGTGGCAACTATTTCTGGGCCTAGGTAGGTGAGGAGGGAAGGATTGCCAGGTTGGCACTGGGGCAGCTGAGGCAAGATGACCCTTGGGGCCTCAGGCCTGTCACAGGCAATGTATGGACACGCAAGGTGGATAATAGGTACCCTCGGCTGCCAGGAAGACCACAGCTGCTGCAGCTTGTAAGCCCACAGGGTGTTAGGCTTTTCCCGATTCTCAACCCCTCAGAGCCAGGGCTTGTCTGAACCAGCAGTCTCAGATGAAAAGTGCATGATTTCAGGCATGGAGAAGGCAGAGGGAGGTCCAGGGTTAAGAAGCCTTCAGCTTCATTGATTAATTTATTAAACCAGTGCCCAGCACCAGGAGCCATTAGATTCCAGCCCAACATAAGGAAGTCTACCCAAATTGGTCAGGGGTTTGACTTGCAGATGTGTGTACTCGAATGCCCCCAGGGTGTGTCTGGTCAGTTTTGAGACCTACAACTGGGAGGGACAGAGATTTAGGATGAAAAGGACTTAGGTATCAACAGGGCTTGAGTTCAAATTCCACCTCCGCCCCTCACTAGCTGTGTGATTTCTTTCGGCTGCAGTTTCCTGGACTGAAATGGTGACGCTAATACCTACTTCCAAGAGTTGTTGTGGAACTTTTATACATAAAGCACCCAGGGTAGCTTCTGGCACGTGATACGAGCATACCTGAAGGATACGGCAGGCTCAGCCTAGACCACCACAGTAAAGCGAGTCTTGCAATAAAGCAAGTCATAAACTTTTGCTGCTGGAATGTCTTTCTTAGCTTCAATTTCTAAAACACGCAACATCTGTGAAACACAGCAAAGCGACGTGAACTGAGGTATGCTGCAAGTGCCTTTAATAGCTCATTTGATGATGGTGATGAGGACATCCTGCATCTTGTATCGTAAATCACACAGAATGGCAAACACTGGATGAAAGGGAGATTATGGAGAAAAATTAAAATGTCATTGTATTTATTGTGGGTCACTGGGAGAAAAAAACACATTACAAAGAAACAAATGAAAATAGTGAACTAAATGCTGCATAAAGCTGCGGATCACTCACTGATCCCCATCTGATGTTTTAATCCAGACCCCTCTACTGGCTCTGAGTTTGCTGTTGGCTTTTAAGTTTTCTAAAAGCCAGTGATTCCTCTATGTGACCCCAAGTAATTAGGGATGACCTTTTGATGAACCCAAGTAATTAAGAATGAACTCTTGGTGAACCCATTGACCTCTCCATGACCCCTCGTAGTGTCCTAATTTAACTTTTCTGAGAGGGACTTGCTGTTAACTTTCTGAACTTTAGTCAGAAACCACCTCTATGAACGCCAATGAACCCATTGACCTCTGTGTGACCCCAACTAATTAAGAATGAACTTTTGGTGAACCCATCGACCTTTTCATGACCCCAAGTAATTAAGAATGAATTCTTGGTGAACCCATTGACTTCTTTATGACTGCGCTTAGGTCCTCAATTGCCCCTTCTGAGGGCCTAGTTGCGGTTAACTTTCTAAACTTTCCATCAGAAACCACCTCCAAGACTCCAGTTACTTAGCCAACCCCTAAGTAACTGAATGACTGGTAAACTTGTTGGCCTTCACATGTCCCCATGTGATGCCTTCATTGCCTGCTCTGGATTCGAGGATTCCTGGGAGTCTGAGGTCAGAACCTTGACTCTTTTCTCATCATTGCAGCCACTCATTCATTTCACCGGTGTGAAAGGGACCTGGGAGCAGGCGTGGCCAGAGAGGCCATTCTCTACTCTGCCTCTCAAATTTCTGCACTGGGGCATCTTTAGTATATATAGCCTGTCAGGAAGCAGCGTGTTTCGGTTAAATGACTTCCTTACTACCACTGTCCCCAGGGGCACTTAGGACATTCCTGCGACTTCCTGAGTCAGTCCTCTTCCCCACTCCTCCAATTCTTTTCTCTGCCAGATCGTTTTTTGGCTTGTCTCCTGAGCCCTCCCAGAGACCCAAGTGGGGATGGTGATTGCCTGTCCTTCTCCCTGCGAGACTGTGAGCCCCGCGTGGACAGGCAGCTGGTCAGCCCTGTTGTCCCCACAGCATCCCCAGCACCGTGTGCAGCACTGGAGACCTTCCCTAGATGAGGACGAAGTCTCAGTGGTCGTCAAGGAGCCGGCCCCCAGGACCCCCTGCGCTGCGGCCACTTCCCGGGACCAACAGGTGGAGCATACCACTCACAGCATCTCACCTGGGGTCCTCCAGGCCCTGTATTTGGCCAGTCCTGGAAAATGGGCATTACTTCAGGGGCAGAGCCCAGGGGCTGAACATAATGGTCCATTAGAATGCAGAAAAAATATTAGAACTTTCATTTAGATTTATTTTCATCTCATCTTTTTTAAATTTCTATTTTTGTGTATGTTTTATAATGTACATAATATTTTAGTAAGTAGTACATGTATATAATTTACAATAAATAATGATACAATTAAGAAAGTGAACTAATTTTTTTTAAGTGATGGGAAGCACACCTGCCTGCAGCAGACAGGGCCTGCTCCTCTGCTTTCCCTCACCTGCCCTCGGGCGATGGACAATGGGGAGCTGACCCCAAAAAATCAAATGACCTTTGAGACAGCACGGAGAAGGTACAGACAGTTCTCTATGTTGCCACATGGCTCTTTCGATTTCAAATGACCCTTTAATTCCCCTCAGCAAAATGAAGGGGCCAGATGTTTCGAATATAAAATACACGTCAACTGATCCAAATTAAATAAATCTGAATTTGAATCACTGCATCTCTCCATTGACTCACATGTCCCCTACATCAAATGTGAACAGGCTTGTAAATGCTGAGCACTTAGTCGCAAGTTGACTTGTTAACTAAATATGTTACCAGTGAGGTCAAACTGCTGGCCAAACTACAGTAACCTATTTAAAAAATAGAAAAGATTCACTCATCACAGCTGCATTGAGGGTGCCTTCGCCCCCACCCATTGTCTGAGGAATTCAGGGTTTAAAGGATGCTGGTCTGTGGTCATCGTGTGGCAAATTTCTCTTTCTTCCCAGACATGTCCTTAGCTAGCATTTCAAAGTCACTAGAAGAACGAAAGAAATATTGACCTAAAAAACAAGCAACTTGTCATTTCGCCTTTTCCCAAGACCGAGGATTAAGGGCTTCCATGACCTTCCCAACCAAACATCTTTGGGCTTGTTGACAAGTGGCTATTTGCAAGGCAGAGCGTCTTTTATTCCTGTAACAGGAGATCTGAGCAAGAGGCCACCTCTGGGGCTCAGAGACCTGGCAGCACCGACATAAAGACCCAAAAATAAACAGAGCCACGGTCCCGTCCCACTCACACCATGGTGCTTGTGGGACAGATGGGGTGGCGCACACACGCACTGTCTGTTTATTCCAAAACATCAACTATAAGAGCAATGTAGGTCACAGGTCAGCCGGCAGAGGGAAGAAACAGAGAGGAGGTCAGCACGACCTCCACCTTCCCTCCCAGAGTGCCAGGGCCACTGGGGGCCAGGTCACAGCCCTGAGAGGCTTTTCCTTCACCTTATTTCATCCTCTAACTGATATCACAGCTCCAAAACAATCTTTAAAGGGGGTCCATATATATATAATTCCTATATATATATATATATACATTTCTGTTCATATAAAAGAAAGCAGTAGTGGCCTCAGTGGATGGAGGGCGAGGTGGACGTACACAGGGGCAGTGACAGCTTGGCATGGAGGGTCCTGGGTCATTGCGATGTGAGACAGGGAGAACGGGGTGTGACTCCAGAGGCTGCCGAGTGGAGGGAGAGCGGATAGTGCTGGTGGTCTGCAGACCTGCTGCTGGTCACTTCAGAGGAAGGAGGAGAAAGGGTGGGAGCCCACACTGAGATCTGGAGTCAAGACCTGCCTCGGAAACAAGGGAGATGAGGAAGATGAGGGCCTGGGAAGTCCACTGCCGTTTCCGCTTCGCCAGTGGAGTGGTATCTGGAGCGTGCACACAACCAGCCTCTACAGTCGGGCTGCAGGGTGGAGAGGGCTTCGAGGGCTGGTGAGAGGGTCTGAGGTCCAGAGAATCCCAGGATGCAAAACCAGTGCCATGAAGGGTATCTCCATCTCCTCAGCCCTTGCGGCTCTCCGCACCCCTCTGGCTGCCCATCAACTGCGTGGAGCTGGTCCAAGTGGCCCCTGGCTGGAATTGTGCTTTCTGACCCCTCGAGGGCATTTGCCTGCCTCTGGGGCCTGCCCATCCACGCCAACTAAGTATCCATTCCACTGGTATCCTTCCTGGCTCTGCTGCCAGTCACAGTTCCGTGGCCCTGGCTGAGAGCAGGGCTTGAATGTGTCTTTCGGAGGGAAGGGTCGTCCCCTTCCAGGGTGGCCAGCCGGGCCTCGATCCGATCCAGGTCGTCTGAGCCCACTTTGATTTTCATAGCCAGGAGGTGGATGTAGGTCTCGTAACGGCTTTTCTGGGAAAAGAGAAGAGAAAGGCCAGAAACAAAGTCAAAAGACAACAAAATGTGAAGAACTATTTGTATCTTAGATGACAAAAGACTCATTGCCTTAAGATTCAGAGAACTCTCACAAATCAATAAAAAGGAGAAAAACAATCCAATAAAAAAAAACAGGCAAGTACAAGCAACAAAAATAAAAATAAAGGGAATTACAACAAAAATTTAAACTTTTGCCCTGGCTGGGGTGGCTCAGTGGATTGAGCACCAGCGTGCAAACCAAAGGTTCACCAGTTCCATTCCCGGTCAAGGGCACACGCCTGGGTTGTGGGCCAGGTCCCCAGTTGGAGGCAATTGATGCATCTCTCACACATCCATGTTTCTCTCCCTCTTTTTCTCCCTCTCTTCCCCTCTCATTCATAAATAAATAAATAAATACAATTTAAATTCTGTGTATCAAAGGACACGATCAATAGAGTAAAAAAAGCAATCTAGGACTTCCCCCAAGATGGAGGCGTAGGTGGAAGCACTGCGCCTTCTCGCACAACCAAGTTTAAAAACAACAAAGTGTTAGCAACAAAAATGCAGCCAAACCACAGAAAATTTAACTATACGGAAGTCTGATAACAATGAACCCTTCAGCCAAACTGGTAAGAGGGGCAGAGCCAGCAGCAGAGTGGGGGCGGGCAGGAAAGATCCACTGGACCTGGGCACGAGACCCAAGGGTGCCGGCAGCCGTGGGCCGATCCCAGCTGTGGAGTAGTGGGCGGACTCACTGAAGGCTGACCATGGTCACACATTCACACACAGATAAACCGGTGAAGGAGCGAGTGGTGAGACAGACGGTGCAGACCCCAGTGGCGGGAAGGAGCAGAGGGGACCACCATTGTCCCTCTCTGACCCCACCCCCACATACAGTGTCACAAATCAGCGACTTGGGCGGCCCCGCCCTGGTGAACATCTAAAGCTCTGCTCCTCATACATAACAAGCACAAACAGATCAAATCATGGCTCAAGAACAACTCAGAGCCCCAGAGCCGATAAATCTAAGTGATAAAGAAATAGCCAAACTTTCAGATGCACAGTTCAAAACACTGGTGATCAGGATGCTCACAGAACTGGTTGATTTTAGTCACAAATTAGAGGAACATATGAAGGCTAAACTAATTAAAATGAAGGGAAATGCACAGGAAACCAATAGTAATGGAAAGGAAACTGGGACTCAAATCAAAGGAGTGCACCAGAAGGAGAAAAAAAAAATGACTGAACAGAAAAGGATGAAGAAACAAGAATTCAGAAAAAGGAGGAGAGGCTTAGGAACCTCCAGGACATCTTTAAATGCTCCAACATCTGAATTATAGGGGTACCAGAAAGGGAAGAGGAAGAGCAACAAGTGGAAAACTTATTTGAACAAATAATAAAGGAGAATTTCCCCAATATAGCAAAGGAAATAGACTTCCAGGAAATCCAGGAAGCTCAGAGAGTCCCAAAGAAGTTGGACCCAAGAAGGAACACATCAAGGCACATCATTACATTAGCCGAGATTAAAATGAAGGAGAGAATCCTAGAAGCAGCAAGAGCTAAGGGGACAGTCACCTACAAAGGAGTTCCCATCAGACTGTCAGCTGATTTCTCAAAAGAGAACTTACAGGCAAGAAGGGGCTGGAAAGAAGTATTCCAAGTCATAAAATCCAAAGACCTACATCCAAGATTGATCTATCCAGCAAAGTTTTCATTTAGAATGGAAGGACAGATAAAGTGCTTCTCAGATAAGATCAAATTCAAGGAGTTCATCATCACCAAGCCCTTATCATATGAAATGTTAAAGGGACTTACCTAAGAAAAAGACGATAAAAGAGATGAACAGTGAAAGGACAGCAAACTCACAGTTATTAAGAACCACACCTAAAACAAAAACAAACTAAGAGGACAGCTAGATCAGGAGTAGAACCATAGAAATGAAGATCACATGGAGGGTTAGCAACAGGGGAGTGGGAGAAGGAGAAGGGGGGAGAAGGTACAGAAAATAAGTAGCATAGATGGTAAGTAGAAAATAGATAGGGGGAGGGCAAGAATAGTATGGGAAATATAGAATTTAAAGAACTTGAGACACGTGGTCATAAACTAAAGGGGGGGAATGGTGGGGGAGGGGTGTGCAGGGTGGAGGGGAATGAAGGGGGGAAATAGAACAACTATAATGGCATAATCAATAAAATATATTATAAATAAATAATAAATAAATAAATATTTTAAAATAAAAAATAAAGCAATCTAAAGAATGGGAGAAAAATATTTGCAAATCATTATCTGCTAAAACTCTAGTGTCCAGAATGTATTTTTTTTTAAACCCTCCCGCCCTGACCAATGTGGCTTAGTTTGTTGGGCGTCCTCCTGCAAAGTGAAAGGTCACTGGTTCAAGTCCTGTCAGGGCACAGGCCTGGGCTGCAGGTTTAGTCCCCGACAGGGGTACATGTGAGAGGCAACTAATCAACATTTCTCTCTCACACTGATGTTTCTTTCCTTATCTTTCTCCCTCCATTACCCTCTCTCTAAAAATAAATACATATAATCTTAAAAAAACAACTACTACTCATCAAAAAATGGACAAGGAGCTTGAATAGACATTTCTCCAAAGAAGATACACAAATGCCCAATAAGCACATGAAGGGTGCTCACTATCACTCACCACTAGGGAAACCAAAATCAAAATCATAATGAGATGTCTCACACCATTACAGATGGCGAGTATAAAAGGAGAAAAAGCCCTGCCTGGTGTGGCTCAGCGGATTTAGTGCCGGCCTGCGAACCACAGGGTAGCTGGTTCGATCCCCAGTCAGGGCACGTGCCTGGGTTGTGGGCCAAGGTCCTCAGTAGGGGACATGCGACAGGCAACACATACTGGTGTTTCTCTCCCTTTCTCCATCCCTTTCCCTCTCTCTATAAATAAATAAATAAATAAAATATTTAAAGGAAAAATAAAACAGCAGAAAATACCAAGTGTTGGTGAGGGTGTGGAGAAGTTAGAACACTCGTGCACTGCTGATGGGAATGTAAAGTGGTGTCCAGCCGCTGTGGACAACAGTATGGCTATTTCCCAAAAAGCAGAAAATAGCACAACTATATCCAGCAGTACCACTTCTGGGTATACGTCCCCCTAAACTGAAAGCAGGGTTTCCAAGAAATATCTGCATGCCCACGTTCACAGCAGCTTATTCCCACTAGCCAGAAGGCGGCAGCAACCCGAACGCCGAGCACATGAACGGGTAAACGCAACATGGTGTGTGCACCTAACGGAATAGCCTTCGCAAGGAAGGAAACTCCCACGTGTGCTGCAACGTGAATAAACCTCGAGGACATTACACTAGGTAATGTCACAACAGCCAAAGTTCTGTGTTATTCCACTCATCTGAAGTGCTTATTTGAAGTCGTCAAGTTCATAGAGATAGAAAGTAGAATCGCGTTGCCGGGGGCTGGGGCGGGGCTGGGAGCGGGGCAGCTGGGGAGTGGCTCAGGGGTGAGGAGTTTCAGTTTGGGAAGGTGAAGAAGTTCTGGAGGTTGGCTGCACCACGGTGTGAACAGACAACATCACTGGACCATACACTTAAAAATGCTTAAGATGGTAAATTTTCTGCTATGTGTATTTTATCACAATTTAAATGTTTTAATCCAAATTAAAATAGCAATAAGACACCATTTGTTAAACCTATCAAATTGGGGAAAATTAAAACATTCAATAATGTCCAGCATTGGCGAGGGCATGGAGAGAGGTAAATTCACAGGCTGTTAAATGGCTTGTGACTTAGTAAACGTGTAGGAAGGAGGTTGGACAGTGTCTGAGGGCCTTGACCCTGAGCTTCAGGCCCTCACCACAGTCGAGGAAGCCGGGGGTCCTGGAAGAAGTAGGGAGGAAGGGTCAGGAAACTCTGTTCTTGCCCAGCTCAGGCACATGAAAAGAAAGGCCCTCCATTGCTAGGCTTCACCTCCCCCACCCCCCCACCCCCATTGAGCTAGGCAGATGCGAGAGAGGCCAGGGCGGTGCAGCTGCAGTCCACCAATCTACCGCCTGGGCGAGGATCCTGGCTCCTGAACTTCTTAACTGTGCACCTCAGGCAAGTGATCTGACTGCTCCAAGCCTCAGTTTCCCTGTCTTTAAAATGGGAACTCATTTTACAGAGCTCATATGAGGATTAAATCCATTAATGCAAGACAAGTGATAAGAGTCATGCCTGGCAATTCACAAGAGATCAATCCACTGCAGCGTTTGCCATCACCATCTTGGGGTGCAGACAGGGTGGATCTGAGGAGACTTCTGAAAGCTACAAAACTTTTCAAAAGGCCAGGATCTAGCCCAGGAGCTGTCCCCCGACCCCCTACACCTCCACGGAAAATCAGTGTGGAGATCTGGAGACCGAGACTGCTGACTTCCTGTGCCGGGGGCTTCCGAGCTCAGTCTCCCCCGTCTGTCTGTGCACTCCCACGTGCAGGGCTGTCTGAAAGCCAGTCTAAAATCCACGAGCGGTTCCTGCCTTCCTCCCTCAAGCCGACCCCCACCCTTCACCCAGCAAAGGGTCAGTCAGACAACCGCACCTGCAAAGCACCGCGAGGTGAAATCAGGGTGGTGGGCAGAGACGGGATGGGAGCTTAGAAGGAGAGACTAAGTTTCCTGCTTAGGAAACCCGGGAAAGAGGGAGGTGAGACAAAGTGGGGAAAGTCATGTGGACAGGGCTCGGGTGTCCCGTGGCTTCGTTGGGAAAGCTTCCCGAGAAGTGGGGCCTGTGGCGAAGCGGAGGCGAGTGGGGCTTGGAGAAGCTGGGAGGGACGGGGAGCGGGGAGGGGTGTCTGGTGGAGCCCAGCGGCGCTCTTCGAGAGACACAAGTGAGAGCACAATTGTGCCATTAACAAATGACAGCTGGACTGTGCAGACCGGCCCACGGGAGGCCATGCGTAGTCCAAGATTACCTCGGGGGAGCCCCAAAGTGGGGAACCCCCCCAGAGTAGGAGCGCCTGGTAAGGAATGACGGTGGTGGCGGGAGGTGAAGCAGGGGACCTGGCCTGCTCTGGCTCCAGCCCTGTCCTGCAGTCTGCCCCCCAGGGCCCACCTCGAACAGGAGATAGTGCTCCTTCAGCCGGCTCTCCTCCGCCTCCTTGGACTTGGGGCCCCTCTCGGCAGGGCGGCTCCTGTGCTCAGGCAGCTCCGCAGTCACCTGCCTCAGCTTATTCTCATGCGAATGCAGCTGCTCCTCCTGCAAGGACAGGTCCCGGGCTGTGAGGTCCACTCTCGGGATATCACAGGGGGGCGTCTATCCTGTCCTTCCAGGACCTGCGTCGCCACAGGGAAACTGAGGCCTGGCCAGGGCCATCGATATGTGGGGAAGGGCCGGACTCCAGACTCGAAGGAGCGCTCCAGCTTCCACCTTGTCCTTGCTCTCAGCACCATCAGCTCTCCTGAACACCTCCCACAGTGCTCGGGGGATGAGAGACCCGCAGCTTGTGTGTGCGTGTGGACACTCCCCGACACAGACACACAATCACCCAGACACACCCCCAGCTCATATGGACTCCCACACACGTACACAAACACTCTGGGCCAAGGGCAGCCTGGTCTCGGCTACCGCTGGCTCCATACAGTGCACACGTTCTCTTACACTCGTGCCAGACACATGTGATAGTCACAGACCTGGGATGAAAGAGCAAGACAGGCAGAGACACTGGCACACAGACAAGGGCCTGCACACCTCCCGCCCCTCCCCGGGTGGCCACATTGCTTCGTGCTACGTGGGCTGCACGTGCGTGAACACGTGTGCGGTGTGGATGTGTGTGCACTGAGTGGGCATGTGTAGGGGCCCTGGGCATGAGCAGCAGTCCGAGGAGCTCAGTGGAGAGACCCAGGATGAGGGCCCAGTAGGAAAGGGCCTGCCGCTGGCAAAGCCAGGAAGAAGCTCCCCCTGCCCTCTTCCTCTCCTGCAGTGGGCCTCCATTTATCCTCCCCCCGAAAAAAACCTTAAAAATTAGAATATGGATCAATTGGAGCTTTTTGAGGATTACAAATAAAACATTTAAGGGCAGAGGACTGGATGAAGGGCCAGCCGAGTCTCCCTACCCCGGCTCCCTATGACACACCGATTTTCTCACATTCATGCCCAAACATACACGATGCCCACAGATCACAACCCCAGCCACAGGGAACACCGCCGTTGGCATGGAAGGGCACCCCTGCCACCCACCACAGCGCAGCCAGACCGGCGTTGTGCGCGGCCTCGGTCTTCCCAACTGGAAAAGGGGGTGGGGTGCAGCGGGGGTGGAGAGAATATCTGCCCCTCATCTTGTCCCTGAGCCCAGGGCACTGTGCAGGAGCTGAGGGGAGGGCAGTTGAAAGAGGGGGCCCGGCATTGGGGGGCAGCCTGCGGAGGCGGTGTCGGGACCCCAGGAGTACGTACCTGGCAGAGGCGAGTGGTGCAGGAGGGCAGCAGGGGCCGGCAGAACTTCTTCATGGAGCTCACGGCAGCTGGGAAGGCGGGCGCTGAGAAGATGGCGGCCACCAGGTTGATCCTCAGGATCCAGGACAGCATTTCTTCTTTGCTCCTGGGGACAGGACGGGAGGGGAAAGGGCACCAGTTTCTCAGAATAGAACTCCATCTTCCTGACCAATACCCAGCACCCAGCACTTGCCTGGCACACAGAGAGCACAAGTACCTCTGTGTTTGTAGGCAAAGGAGTGAGGGAGGAAGGTGGGGTGAGGGCTGGATGGACCTGGTCACATCTGTGTAAGGAGCTCCCCTCTGTCCCAGCTCCCGGGCAGAACCTGGATTTTCACGTGAAAATAAAGCTGCCAGGTGGAGCTGAAGAGTCCCAGAGCCAGCTGCCCCGGGGATCGGTGGTGGCAGCAGGGTGTCCTCACAACCTAGCCGGGCACTGAGAGCTCGTCTTCCATGTGAAACGTGGAGTCGTAGAAGGATGGGGTTTGGGGCAGAGAAACTGCAGGGTGAGTCTCCCCCCCCCCATTCCCTGCACCCCGACTGGAAGTGAAGGATGGTTCCTAGACTCCATCGCCCCCTATGTGGGGAGTTCGGTATGCATCAGGGTCACCTGGGGGACTCATTAAAGCCCAATCACTGGCCCATTCCCCAGAGATTCTGATTCAGCCTGTCTGGGGGAGGGGTAGGCAGAGAAACCACATTTCTAACGAGCTTCCAGGAGACGCTGAGGAGACCACACTCAGAAGCCACGACTGCGGGGGACTCTGCTGTAGGTTTGTGCCGAGCGGATACGCTGGTGGAGGGGGAGCTGAAGGCACCCGCGCCCAAGCGGAAGCGATGAGAAGAGGGGTGCGGTGCAGGCTCCAGGCTGCAGGCCCTGAGTCCAGGCGAGTGCTGGGGCTCCCGCTCCTACTTACGGCGCCTGGAACAGGAAGACTCTCCAGTCAGCTGTCTTCAGCTTGAACACGTTGGACTTCTTGCTGTAGTCGGAGGCCCTGGTGGCCAGAGCATGGTGCACCCGGATGGCATTCTTCAAGTCACCCTCAGACAAAGCTTTATCAGGCCTGTACTCGTCCTGAACAGGTGGGGTGGGGGCGGCCACCCTCTGTCACGGCCAGGCTCTGGCTTACAGACCCACATCTCCTCCACCCTCCCCAACCCTCCCTCGCCCCCCTCCTGTCGATACAGCTTCCTCCACGTTCAACACCTGCCGCGGTGATGCCACGCCAACTCCAACCAGAACCACTCCCCGCACTCCTCCCTGCATCCCAGTTTATCCCAGAAGCCTGAACAGCCCTTACGCTGGGTATCCCCTGAGTCCCTGGGCACTTCCAGGACCCCCCTCTGAGCTCAAGTCAGTCCCCTGACTGGGAAGGACCCAGCAAGAGGCTGGATGGGGGAATGACTGGCCCTTCGTGGGTAAGGACACTGAGGCAGTCTCTCACCTTCTGCAGGTACAGGATGGTCCCTTTGAGCACCGCATAGAATTTCTTCCAGCCACGCCTCCCACGGGGCGCTGAGAACAAGGCACAGGTAGTGTGGCCACAACCACCCACCCCGATAGCTCCTCCTCCCCTGCTTGGCCCACACATCTACCTGGCGGGGTGTGTGCATCCCCAGAGGGGCAGCAAAGCGGGGTGGAACCCACCTGGACTAGCACCCCTCCCCGCGCCTCTCCCCGCGCCTGACACCCACTCCTCTTGCCATCCATGTCGGCGTGAGTCTTCCGAGTCAGCACGCCATGCTTGTAGGTGGTAGCGCTGAGCGCCTGCGGGACATCCAGGAAGGGGTTGCCACCATCCAGGATCCGCGTCACCTTCTTTGTGCCGGCCCCAAACTTGTCGTCCACCAGCTCCGACAGGGATTTCCTCAGTTCATCCTCGTCACTGGGAAAGTGCTGGGCCTGAGTAACCGCCTCCGGGGAGGCATGAGCCCCGCACTAACCTGCCCTCTCCCCGCCAACCTCTCCCCTGGGAGCCGGCCGAGGTGAAGAGGAGAGAAGAGGCGATTCCAATTCCAGATCACAGATCCAGACCTTCATCTTCTCCCCTCAAGTCTTCAGTTCTGACCCCTGACCTCTGATCTTTGACTTTTGACCTCCAAACTCTAATCCTCACCCTTGATCACAAAGTTGAAGATCTTACTAACTCTGGACCTTGTTCCTGATCTTCCTTCTCCTGTCTTCAACCGTGAAAACCCAGCTCCAAAGATCGGTAACCCACGGCCAGACGGAAGCTGCTGCCCAAGCCCCAGACACTGAGGGAGGGCAGCCAGTGGATGAGGATCCCCACTGAGCCCTGGGAGAAGAATGGCAGCTCTTTCCCTGCCTCGGGGAGTGTTAGGGGTTGAGATTCCTAACAATCCCTACCTTGGACCTCTACACGGATCCAAAGACCCAGGCTGCCCTGGGGAGCACAGCAGGGCAGGGCGGCCGCCTTCCCCAGAGCCTCGCAGTCTCACCAACCAGCAAGGTCACCATACCCCTTTCCAAACGGCTGGGCACCTCCAGGACTCACCGCTTTCACAGGGGAAGAAGCTAAGGGGCAATCACCCCTCCCCACTGCCAAGGACACTTCCCACCTAAATATGGTCATATTCTTGGGGTCATAAGGGAACCCATGCCTCCTGACTCCCTACCTTCCAAAGGGGAAAGAGTTATCATTTAAGAATAGTAGCAGTATACCCAGTACAGAAAACCAGTGTGGCTACTATCATGGAACTAAAATCACAGTTCAATCTATTCCATAGAGTGTAAACACTGCATGCTTTTTATCAAGACAGAAAACAGGAACTCAAAAGGGAACTAACTCAACACCAGGTGCTTGGCCAGCTGGACTGGGGTCAATGTGGCCCTGAGTTGGGAGAAATCAGCACCATGGAGAGTGGCAGGAGTGACTCCCCGCACCCACCCCCCACCCCCGTAACTCCCCCTCCCCCTCCCAGTGATCCACTCTCCCCATACCCATATTACAGGCACTACTCACATGGCCCACTCCAGCTTTTCATTCTTGATGGAGTTGTAAAGGGTCTGGGAGAGGAGTAAAAAAAAAAGAGGAGCTCTGGTGAAAAATTTCAAAGATCTCCATCTACCTCTAGCAATGTGGATGCAGTGAGGGAGCACTTTTAAGCCAGTGGGATGAATGGATGTTCGATTCATACTTGTTTGTTGGATGGGTGAGTGAATGGGGTTGGGACGAATGATTGGGTAGATGACCAGCTGGACAGATTTGAGTATGAGTAGGTAGACGGGTTGCTGGGTAGGTGGGTGGGTGGGGAAATGGGTGGATGGTGGATGGATGACTGGTGTAGTGGGGGGGCAGTATTTAAGGGTGTAGGGGATGTCCGTGTGGGTGACTGGTGGATGACTGAGTCGGATGAACGGATGGCTGTGTGGGAGGCTGGGTAGGTGGGTAAATGAGTAGATGGGGAGAAGTGGGTAGGTGGGTGGTAGGACTGGAATTATTTGATCTCACAAATACATTCTTAACAAGTGCTTCTTGATGGTAATAAAAAGTATATGGTAAGAGAGTAATGGAGACAATCTTCTATTTTTTAACCTCTAGATTCACTATCCAGCTGCCCATATGATATCACCAGGCCCTTAAAACCCACTATCTAAAACTGAACTCATCTTCTACCCCCACACACACACCAAAAAAACCCTGCTTTTCTTCCTTAAAAGCCAAGAACTGAGAAAGTTTAAAAGGCCAGAGTTCTACCCTGAGCTTCAGCCTCAAAAGAAAATCAGATTCCCTTATATAATTCCTGGTGACATTGAAGGAATGAGTGGGCTTTTCTCTATGGTAAAGTTGGTGGTGCTGGTGGTAAAGGTCATGGTGATGGCCATGGCAGCTGTGACCATTGGTGGCAGTATCAATAGTTACCACGACAGCAATAATGATGATGTAGCACCAAAAACAAATCTCACAAAGCCTACCCCTCTGCCTGGCTCAAGGAACACACTACAGTCAAACACTGAGCTGGATGGCCTCAAACTGTCCCAGAGTCATAGCGGCCCTTACTCCAATATTAAGAATCTGAAACATCAGGATTTAGTGGGGCCAAGACCGCTCTCCTCTCCACCCAACTCTCCTGCAGCTGGGGGCTTGGGGACCATTAGCAGGTTCTACCTTCAGCAGGTCTTTGGAAAAGTCTTGGCCATCATTCAGCTGGTCCAAGTTGGCAATGAATTGCTGGCAGGACATCTTCTTGCCGATGTTCTGTAGTGGAGAAATTGTTCTGCCTGAGGGCAGGGGTGGAGGCTGATGTGGTCCCACCCCTGCGCTGCCCAGCCAGAAGGGATGAGGCAGCATCAAGGGCAGGACTTCCTTTGTCTCCCAGAGTTTACAAAACTCTCTTTCACATTCAAGATTCTATTTGATCCTGAAGCATCCTGAGAGGTTGAGGTTCTCCCCAAGCCCAGATGAAGAAGTCAAATTGAATGAAGTATTATAATAGTCGACATTTGCCAGGTGCCTGCTATGTACCAGCTATTGAACTTGACATGCATTATCTTGTTTCCTTCTCTCACAAGGAGGAGGTGAGGTGGTTGTTATTACTATCCCCATTTGACAGGCAAGGAAACTGAGGTGCAGGAATGTGATGTGCCCACGATCACACAGCAAGGAAGTGGGAGGGCTGAGCATGTCTGACACCAAAGCCCATGCTCTCACCCACTACTCCGTGGTTAACTCTCCCAAGGTCACACAGCAGCAGGATTTGAACCCAGGCCTCTTGGCTCCTGAGCAGAAGCTCTGTGTATTCCGTCACAACTGTCTCACCCTCTAACCTGTACAGAGGGGCGGCAAGACCTCCAAGAGGTAGGTGAACTGAGGGAGAGTTTGGTCTTATGAAAAACCAAAAATTAATTCCCACCGTCTATACCCCATGCTGAGCTCGGCTGGGAGCAAGGGAACCTCAGCAAACGGTTTTCCTCCGGGAGGTACAAACAGACGAAAAGCTGGGACTGAGTGCACCCCCAAGTTCTGCCTTCCTTTTACTCACTAAGTAGCAAAGGGCTCCAGCCCCCAAACCCAACATCTGATACTTTTAGACTCTCCTTGCTATGTCCACATTTGAGGAAACACTGGATGACACTTCATCTTTGTGGGGACAAGGGCCCCTTGAACACCAGATCCTTGTTGATATAGGATTTTGTGGATTTAGGTTTGCTATAGAGCACTGTCTCCCAAGATTTACCTACCAATGGAACAGCTATTCCCCCTAAAAGGGATTTCATAATCAAATAAGTTTTTTTTACATGTTTCAGATCTTTAACATGCTTAAATGTGTTATATGTCTCCAAGGAGAAGATTCCATGGACAATTTCCCAAATTTATTGACGTTGGCACCATTTTAGCAGAGGCTTTGTTAATATCATGTGGGACATTCATACACCACAGAAAATAATGCAGAAAACAATGATATAAGGCATTATGTGTAGCTGACAAGCAAGAATTTTCTACACCCTATGTGTGCCTTGCTATAGTATATTTCGCATGTTTTTGTGTACACTTTACGAGAAAAGCCCAGGACCAGATGGCTTCACTGGTGAATTTCACCAAACATTTAAAGAAAAGTTAACACCAATATTTCTCCAACTCTTCAAAAAAGTTGAAGAGCAGGGAACACTTCCTGACTCTTCCATAAGGCCAGCACTACCCTGATACTAAAACTTGACAAAGACGTCACAGAAAAAGAAAACTACGAAACAGTATCTCTTATGACTATAAAGGCAAAAATCCTCAACGAAATACTAGCAAACAGAATCCAGCGGCATATTAAAAGGATTGTATACCTTGATCAAGTGAAATACATGCCATGTAAGTGTAGTTCAACACACAAAACCTACTAACGTAATGCACTGAATTGGTAGAACGGGGTGGGGCCCGAATACCTGAGCATCCCAGCTGATGCAGAAAAAGCGTTTGACAAAATCCAACACCGTTTCATGATAACACTGAACAAACTAGGAAGAGAAGAGAACTTCCTCAACATGATAAAAGGCACACACGGGAACCCACATTTAACCTCATATTCAGCGGTGGGAGACTGAAAGCTTTGCTCCTAAGATCAGGAGCAAGGCAGGACACCCACTTTGCCATGTCTACTGAACACTGTACTGGAAGTTCTAGCCAGAGCCACTAGGAATAAATAAATAAATAAATCTTCATTTGCAGATGACATGATCTTATACATAGAAATTCTAAAGAATCTAAAGAAAGACTTTAGAGCTAATAAACAAATTCAGCAAAGTTGCAGGATATAAGATAAAAACAAAAATTAATTGTATTTCTGCCCTGGCTGGTGTAGCTCAATGGACTGAGTACAGGCCTGCAAACCAAAGAGTTGCTAGTTTGATTCCCAGTCAGGGCACATGCCTGGGGTGTGGGCCTGGTCCCCAGGAGGCAGCGCATGAGAGGCAACCACACATTGATGTTTCTCTCCCTCTCTTTCTCCTTCCCTTCCCCTCTCTTTAAAAATAAATAAATAAATCTTTTAAAAAATTAATTGTATTTCTATATGTTAGTAATGAACTGTCATCAAGTGAAAGAAAACAATTCCATTTACAATAGCATCAAAAAGAACAAAATTCTTAGGAATGAATTTAACCAAGGAAGGGGAAGACTTGTACACTGAAAACCACAAATGATTGCTGAAAGAAGTTGAAGATCTGAATAAATAGAAACACAACTTGTGATCATGGATTGGAAGACATCATATAACTAAAACAGTGGGACTCCCTAAACTAACCTATAGATTTAATGTAATTTCTATCAAGATTCCAATGGCCTTTTTCTATTTGTAGAAATAAGAAAACTTATCCTCAAATTCATGCAGAATTGCAAGGGATCCCAAAATAATCTTGGAAAAGAACAAAGTTGGAAGACTCACACTTTCTGATTTTAAAACTTACTACAAAACCAGAGTGATCAAAACAGAGGGGCAATGGCATAACAACAGATATATAGATCAATGGAATAAAATTAAGAGTCCATAAATAAACTCACTTTTGTGTTGATTGTTGACAACTGTGCCAAGAGCATCCAATGGGGAAAGAATCGCCTCTTCAACAAATGGTGATGGGACGACTGGATATCCACGGGCAAAAGAATGAAGTAGGACACTTCCTTCACACTATATACAGAAACTAACTCAAAATGGATCAAAGACCTAAACATAATAGCTAAATCTATAAAACTCTTAGAAGATAGGGATACATCTTCATGACCTTGGATTTAGCAATGATTTCTTAAACATGACACCTAAATCAAGGAACAGGAAAAAAACTGATAAATGGGACTTCATAAAAATCTAAAACTTTTGTTTATCAAAAGACACAGTCAGCCCTGGCTGGTGTGGCTCAGTGGATTGGGTGCCGGCCTGCGAACTGAAAGGTCGCCAGTAGGATTCCCAGTCCGGGCACCTGCCTGGGTTGCGAGCCAGGTCCCCTGTTGGGGGCGCACGAGGCAACCTTTTCACACATTGATGCTTCTCTTCCTCTCTTTCTCCCTCCCTTCCCCTCACTCAAAAATAAATAAGTTAAATATTTTTTTAAAAAGTTCAAAGATACTGTCAAGAGAGTAAAAAGACAACTGGCAGAATGGGGAAAGACTTGCATATCCAAAATAGGTAAAGAACTCTTACAACTAAACAGCAAAAGACTAACAACCCAATTAGAACTGGACACAAGACTTGAATAGACTTTTGTCCAAGAACGATACATAAGTGGTCAACAAACACCTGAAAAGATGTTCAACATCACCAATCATTAGGGAAATGCAGATCAAAACCACAATGAGATAACACTTCATACCATTTAGGAAGGCTACTATCAAAGTACAGAAAACTAACAACTTGGTGAGGATGCGGAGAAATCGGCACCCTTGTGCATCGCTCGTGGAAACATAATATGGATCAGTTGCTGGAAAAGAGTATGGCTATTTCTCAAAAAGTTAAAAATAACACGAGTATAGAGTTTCAGTTCAGGAAATACGAAAAAGTTCTGGAGATTGTTTGTATGACAACATAAATAGCCTTAACACTATTGAACTATACATTTAAAAATGGTTAAAATGGTAAATTTTTATGTTATGGACATTTTTACTGCAATCCTTAAAATAAAATTTTACAAATCAAAAAGATAGGCAAAGGCTTTGAATGGACATTGCTCCAAAGAAACGACACAGATTGCCAAAGACCGCATTAAAAATGCTCAGCATCAATAAATATCATTAGTTATTAGGGAAATGAGAGCCAAAACTTATCTACCGAGACAGCAATAATTTTTCTGCGGGGTAGGGAGGGAACCCGTGTTGGTGAGGGTGTGAAGAAACTGAAACTCTCGTATGTTACTGGTGGGCGTTTAAAATGTTTCAGCCACTATGGAAAACAGTTTCGCCGTTCATCCAAAAGTTAAACACAAAATTACCCTTTGACAAAGCTAATGTACCCCTAGGAATTAAAAACAGGTGTACAGACAAAAAATTGTTCTTAAATGTTCATAACACTATTCACAATAACCTGACGGCTGAAACAACCCGCACACCCAGCAACAGACAACTGGATAAACAAAACACAATACATCTTTGTGATGGAATATTACTCAGCTATAAAAAGGAGTGAGCTGCCGACACACGCTACAACAAAATGTATAGAATTTACCATTTTAACCATATTTAAGTGTATAGTTCAGTAACGTTAAGGCTATTTACACTATTGCGCAAATCATCTCCAGAACTTTTTCATGTAATCTTGAAAACATTCTGCCGACTAAAAGAAATCAGACACGAAAGACTGCATATTGTTGGATTCCGTTTACATGAGATGCCCAGACTGGGCAAATCCATGGACACAGAAAGCAGATTAGTAGTTTCCGGGGGCTGGAGGGAGGAAAGAATGGGGAGAAACTGCCAATGTGTGCAGGGCTTCCTTTCGGGGTGATGAGAAGGTCTGGGCCCAGGGAATAATAATGGTTGCACATCACGTGAACATGCTTAAACCTAGTGAATTGTATGCTTTAAAATGGTCAAAATGGTGAGTTTTGTGTTATGTACATTTTACCCCAATAAAAACAACCACTGAGGAGATATAAGATGTTTGCAACACAACCACAAGGATCGACCTTATTGATGTGCATAGGACCTTCCAACCAACAACTGCAGAACACACTTTCTTTTCCAGTCCACCTGAAACACCTGCTAAAACTGCTCTCTCTCTGGACAGAAAGGCAAGACAACAAATTACCAAGAAGTGAAATCAAACCAGGTAAGTTATCTGACTGAAAAGCTAATCATAACAACAACCAGGCAAAAAGACATGTACCCAGAAAAGAAAAGAAAAACAGAGACAAGTACCTGGGTCATTCCCAAGCCAAAGGGCGGGGCGTGACGTGGGACCGTCAAGTGCCCATCTCCTCTCCCAGCTACCCCGTTTGGGTCCGCAGGGCCTCCTAACCTGCCCTTAACCCTCAGACCCTCCCATGGCCTCTGTCTCCCAACAGAAGTTATGCCGGCCTGGCCACAGACCCACCCATGGCCTGGGGTGTCTGAGGAGCGGCTGTGAGGCAGGGAAGAGAGGGGGGAGCGCCAGCAGTGGACACTACTTCCCTGGGGTCCCGTGGAGAGTTCATAGTGGTGGCAACCACCAGGCCCTGGGCTTCCCTAGCACTGTCTCCTTAACCCTCACGGGGACTTTACAGTGGGGGAAACTGAGGCTTCGAGAGTTAAGTAACTTGCCCCAGGCCACACAGCTGTCCTTGTGGAGAAGGCTGCAAGCCTTGCTCCTGACTGTTGAGCAGCACCGCCTCTGGAGAGGAAGGTGGATCCTTGAGGTCTGGGGACGACCAGCATGAACAGTCCTGTCCCACCCGCTCTGATCTGTGAACTTGAGATGTTTCTCTTCAACTGAGAGCATCATGTGAGGCCAGGGCAGCTGCACCCATCAGCAGGGTCACTGACCCAGGAGTCCACTGAATGGCGGCTGCTGCATCCTTAGCAGCCCTGGGCCACGGAAGGGCAACCAGGGCATGGCACGGCAGTGACCGGGGCCTGAGGTCGCTCTCAGGCCCCGCCAAGGACAGGTGGGGTGTGTTTAATGCTCCTCCGAAGGTGTGCTAGCCACACCTGCTCTCCACAGGCAGACAGAGCAAGCCGGTCTTGGGGGAACATTAGCTAGTTAACGGTGTTAACTCTGGTGACATTCCCATAGAATACACACATCTTCCCTCCCGCCCACACTCAAGCCATGGGTGCAGGCGCGCTAACCGAAGTTGTCACACAACTTCTCTCCCTACCAAGTTCACCGAGGCCTTTTCACCATCCACGGGCCAGGTGCCCCAGCACGCCCTGGCCCATACGGGCTCCCGTAACACAGAGTGTGGCCTTCACATTCTTGACCCTGCAGTGATCTGTAGGCTGGGCCTTCAGGTCCTCCATCATTTAAATGTTAACACTAATCATGAATACTGTTGTTATTCTAACATAATAATATTATTCATAACTAAACCCTTACTGGGTGCCAGACCCTGACACTTGGTGCCGTGGGCATTACCTCTCGGCCCTCCTGGAGTGATGTGGGGGAGACCATCACCGCCACCTCACAGGAGCAGAACCTGCAACCCAGAGAGGACCCTCGTCCCATCCAGGGTCGCAGAGCTACCACATGGAGGCAAGAGTAGGACCTGAAGTCGGCTCTGTCCCAGTCCTTTCTTCCACCCTACGTGCCCTGGACTTTCTGGATTGACTCTGGAAGCAGACATGATGGCCCATTGTCCCCATAAGTCACTCAAATAGCCCCAACCCAGCAGGGGACTCTGACCACCCCGGGGTGAGCCATGACAGGGCAGTGATGGGGGGGCCAGACACAGGGGTGGGGCCATGGAGGGGAAACACGGAGATGAGAGTCTAGGCCCACAGGACATGCACAGCAGCAGCCACACTTACCACCTGAGGGCGGGCAAGAGCCCAAAGAGGGGTCCCCGGAGCAGACGGAGGAAAAAGGAGTTATTGAGTCAGAGCAGCATTGAGACGGCCCAAGGCCTGGACCAGACACAGCCTCACAGCCCACCCGGAGCCCATCTGTCCCTTCACTGTTTGCCTGGTGGGGGCAGGGTGACAAGAATGTCCCTTGAGAAACACTGCCATTTGACTGATAGGAGCTGCTTGAGCGGGGCCCCAGGCCCCTCTGGGGGGATAAACTGGGGCGGGGGCGGGTCTAGAGGCTGCGCTGCCCAGCTGACAGGAGCGTGAGAACTAAGCAGGTCTCGGGAAAGGGGCTGGAGAAAGGCTGAGCCCTGGACAGCCCAGGTGGGTCGGCGAGAAAATACTCCCCCTCCCGGCCTCCCCAACTCACATGTCCGTGCAGGTCCGTGTTGAGCAGCATCAGGGCACAGGTGAGCGTGTGGATGCCATCTGAATCAGAGACGGTGGCTCCCTCAGTGTGAGGACCCACTTACTCCCACCCCGGCCCGCCACCTTCTGGTCTCCTGACAGAGCCAGCCTGAAGGTCTTGGAGCCTGGAAGCAGCCAGCCACCTGCCAAACGCATCTCTGGGCCCAGGGCCTGCGTGATACTCCCTGCCCTGGGCCCACTGCAGCACTCGAGCCCCTTGCCTGCCCAACGTCGGGGACAACCCCTCCCTCAAAGGAGACCTGAGTTCCTGGGACTTCTCCAACCCAAACTCCTGCCTCCTGTGGCCAAACTCACAGGGGTGGCTCTGGTTCCTGGGCCATGTCCCTGCCGTGGCCTATGTCGCTTCCAACAACTGGCCTAGTCCCCCAGTTCCTGGGACTCAGGTCCATCCTTACAGCAGGGCCCTCCCCTAAGAGGGCTCCCATCCAGACCCCCACATCAAGACTCCCCAGACTGAGACTCAGCGCTGCAGCAGGGGACCAGCGAGAATGAAGACCAAAGAGCTGAATCTCTAGGCTGGAGGGTTTTCAGGCCTGGTAAGGACAACCAGCACATTTGCTCGTCTCTTGCCCAGCAGGCAGTGCCATAGTTTATTCACTCAATGTTAACTGGCCAGAGCAGGGTGGCGGGTGGGCCAGGGGCAGGAAGAAGCCAGGGCCTGGCGGGGCGGGCAGAGCGGGGCGGGCAGCGGTACCTTCTGAGGTGCTGTCATCAGGGTTGCACTGGCAGTACCGGCGGGAGAAGTGAGTGAGGACCCGCTCTCGCTCCTGCGTCTCCCCCATCAGCGGGAAGGCCTTCAGGAAGGTTCTGGGGGGCAATGCAGGGATGCTGAGGTTCTCCCAGAGCCCCCAAGTCAGTCTGGGTCCTCCAGTACGCACACGCACACACAGACACACACAAACATGCCTGCCCCAGTGGGCCAGTGCTCTAGTGCCCCAGCACCTGAGCCCAGGGAGGTGCCCGGTGCCCAGGACAGCTTCCGGAGTTTCAGCCCTCATCACCCTCCAGCGCCCTTTTGGAAGTAAGCAGGGGGCAGACTGCAAGGAACAAACACAGAACACCTCAGCGTGGGCGTCGGCTCTCTTTTGGGGTAAACGCCCACTCCTCGCTCCCTCCTGGGCCCAGCGGACCACGCCTGCCCTCAGACTGCTCTGCCTCGGCCAGGCCCACCCCTCACTCCGGGTGCTGCCCGCTGAGCCCAGACCGGCTGGCCTGGCTCATTCCTCCCCCACTCCAGGTCTGAGCTGTCGAGAGGTTCTTCACTCCCAGCCTCAATCCATCCTCCTTCTCCTCCTCCTCCTCCTCCTCCTCCTCCTCCTCCTCCTCAGGTAAGCACGCCCAGCACTACCCCAGAATGTCCTCCCTGCGGACACCAGGTGGTCTTTCTAAACACACATCAAGACTCACCCCTGCTTCATATTTGTCACTGGTTCCCCGGAGCCCTCAGAACAACGTCCACACTCCTCACACCCTGGCCTTCCCTATGACCCCACCTCCCTCCTGTCCCTTCAACCTTTGCACCCACCTGCTGTCTCTCCACACAGGATTCGCACCCTGGACAGGACAGGCACCTTCACTGCCTGGTGCCTCTGAGCAGGCTGGGCCCTGCCTGGAAGGCCTTCCCTCCTCCACTCAGCAGCTCTGAATCCCTCCCAAGGCACAATTCAAAGGTCACCAGCTTTCAGGGGCCCTGGCAGCTGATCCCCAAACCAGGGGGACAGGAAGAGGGCCCTGGGTCCCTCACCTGGGGGAAACTGCAAGCCAAGGCAGTTTAGGTCTGTCTGTCCTGGCTCATGAAGCCAGCGCGTTACTAATTTAGCAATGGTTCGTTTGCTCTCTGCGATACCCACTTTGCTGTACCCTCTCTCATGCTGCTCCTCAGGAAAACCAGGACCCGTGAGCCCCCGCTTGGCCAGCCCTTACCCTCCGAGGCCTCCCAAGACACCTGAAACTGCAGACCACAGTTCAATCCCAGTCCATCCACTACTACACAAAAACAGTCCATCTGCCACCTGGTTTTCTTCCTCTCCCTGTTCTCTTCCCCTCCACTGGCCCCCAGCTCTGTCTGCCCCCTCTTCTCACACCAGAACTTTCTAAAACCCATCCCAGCCCCTACTCCCAGCTCCACACCCCTTCCCTGGGGGTCTTCACTAAGCCCCAAGCCAGGACAACTGCCACCAAACTCAGGCCTTGTCTTCTCCCATCCAACCATCTCCAGGATCCTGACTCCTCTGAATCAAAAGCTGCCGGCATGCAGCTATCAGCACCGCCTCCCAAATCCTGATTTACTCCGGCACCTGCTGTGGCTCCCCAGTGTCTCAGTCTATTGGGCTGACGTACAAGGCCCTGCAGCCCAGTGTCTGGCCTCTGATCACACACTAATGCACCCAGTCCCCTCCCCCCCAGTCCTCCCCATTCCTACGCAGACCTCAGCCTCCGCTCAGGCCAGCACAGCTCACGGAGACCAGCATGTCCACTGAGACTGATGGGCAGACCCGACAGAACACATCTCTCTGAAGCTGTGAGAAAACAGCTAACGTGACAAAGGGCCAAAGCACCAGGTTCTGCAGAGGAGAGGTGGCTGGTGATTACGGGCACAGGCGGCAGACTGAGCATGTGGTGGCTTCACAGAACTGACGAGACAAACCCAGAGACTCGAGGGGCTGCACGCGCACAGCTAGTTTTCCTTTGAGAGATTTGCCAGCTTCTGAAACGTGTGGGGCAGGGCTCAAAGAGCTGAGCAAAAAGCCTCTGAGAAGCAGAGGGATTTGGTTTTCTGACAGTCTTGCCACACTGAGGAGATAAAACTGGATCCATGACCCGCCCAAAAGGGAAACCCTCGTGAACACGCCAGGGTCTCTGTGGCAAGCCTGATGGGACCTTCCCCCTTGGGTGGGCTGAACCCTAAACCAATTCTCGGCTCAGGCCTGGCTGGGTGAGGACCGCCTCACCTGCCTCCCTTAACTGCCTAGCAGATGGCGGGGCAGACGCTCCCTAAAGACACACGGTGTCCTAGAGTCACTGCCACCCTGCGTAACGTGCACAGCACCTAATCAAAACGCTGCTAAGAATACGAAGAGACCATTTTTGATGGGGTCAAAAGGAAAAAACAGACAACAGAAATAGATACAAGCCCTGGTTGGTGCGGTTCAGTGGATTGAGCACCAAACTGTGAAGCAAAGGGTCACTGGTTCGATTCCCAGTCAGGGCACATGCCTGGGTTGCAGGCCAGGTCCCCAGTAGGGGGCCCGCAAGAGGCGACCACACATTGATGTTTCTCTCCCTCTCTTTCTCCCTCCCTTCCCCTCTCTCTAAAAATAAATAAATATCTTTAAAAAAAAAAAGAAACAGAGACAGATGATACAGAGACTGGGATGCGCAGACAAGGACTTTGAAATAACCGTGACTAATATGTCAAGAAAAGAGAGGGGAAATGGAGAAACCAAGTGAAAAAAGGAGGAGTTCCCCAGAGAATTAGCATCTATAAGAAATATTTTTAGTAAAACAAAAATTCTAGAACTGAAAAATATAACAGCAGAAAGTAAAAATCCAGCAAGTGGGTTTAATGCCTCTGATGAAACAGAAACAGTGTAAGTGACCTCTGAGCAGGACAACAGAAAATAGTCCAACTGAGCGGAGAAAAAATGATGGAAAATACATTATTTCAAAAGTGCAGGAGACACGTAAGATACAATGAGAAGGTCTGATACGCAAGGGCCACCCAGCCCTGAGCTCAGAGACCGCTGCCCTCCCCCGGGGGCTCTGCCCGGTGTGGCCCCGCGGCCGTGGCCACTGGGCCTGCGAGGCACCGGCTGCCTCCTCCCAGTGTGGGCCCTTCCGAGGGCTCCTCCCTGGCTCCAAACACCTGTGAGACCTGAGATCGAATCTCCACCAACAGCCGTGGGAAAGACAGAAGCGGGGGCTGGGGGGTGGGGCGCAGCGCCTTCTTTCCCCTCCTGAAGAGTCATGAGGCACCGCTATGTTCACAGGCCTCAGCACCCGCCACGTAGAGGGCACTCCCGGACTCGCTGGAAGGCTGCTCCAGGTGGCCCCTTCCCCAGCCTCCCTCAGAGCAGTCAAGACACTGGCCCAAGGCTGCACAGCAACTTCATGACAGAGCTGGCCTGAGAACCCAGACGGGCAGCCTGTGCCACCTGTGGGCACTGCCCTGCCCCAGCCCCACTGACCTGAGCGCTCGGTCCAGAGTCAGGCCCGAGAAGTCGAAGAAGCTGAGGTACTCCCCGGCCACCAGCCTGCTGAACTCGTTGCTGCCAGGAGAGCACGGGGTGTCCGTGAGAAGTGGGGCACAGCGAACAATGGTGGGCATGCGGGCAGTGGTACCCTGACCCACCCACCCAGGCCTGCCCGCCTCTGGCCACGCCGGCAGGGCATAAGCTTTAAAATATTCCAGCAAGTGGCAGGGCACTGTTTGGGGGCAGGCAGAGGAAACAAGAATAAAAAATGGTCGATAATTTTGAATCTGAGAAATAGGTACGTAAAGGTTTAATACATTTTCTCTGCTTTTCCACGTTTGCAAGTTTCATAGAAAAGCGTAATTAGAAAGAAAGGAACAGCCAGTGTGTCAGCACCGCTGAAGCTGAGGTCTGGGGACAGCCACCAGCTCCGGGGCCCAGGCAGCTACGGACCACAGTGGGAGGGGCTTCCGAAAGGACAGGGTGGGAAGAAGGGCCAGCCCCGGGCTGAATGTGGAGAAGCAGAAGGGGCAGGGGCCACCCAGGGCACAGAATCCTGAGATTTCTGGCTGTGAAGAAGCAGGAGGAAGAAGACCCACTGAGGAAAGACTGGAGCAGTCACGTGCTGTGGGAAAACTCTCATGGTGGGGGAGGGGGCTGAAGAGATGAGGGAGGGTGGGGGACAACCACAGTAAAGGCTCCTGAAGGGTGGCATTAGGTCGGCAGGTCACACCTCTCAGGAAGGGGAGCAGTCATTGTGATTTCTGAGATGGGGCCAGGAGGACAAGGGCAGGAGCCACCTGATGGCCATGGAAGGTGCAGGAAGCTGGACACGGGGAGCAGTGAGGGACCCAGGAGCAGAGCCAAACCCCAGGCCTAAGCCCCCGGGCAGCTCACACGTGGGGGTCTCGGGTCTGACCTGTCCCCATTAGCCTTGTGAGCTAGGCCTGCTTCTGTTCTCACTACCATCCTCCGTGGCCCCACAACCACGTGCCACGTCCCGGTCCCCGAGCCCCGAGGGGCCGCGCTGCCACCACCCCCTCCCTGAGCCTGTGGGCCTCACCCAGGCAGCCCAGAAAGGAAACAGATGTGGGCCAAGGCCAGGAATGAGGACGGTGGCAGGAAGAGGAGCTCTCAGGGACTGCTGGGGGCCCTCCGGTCACCAGGCACCCCTAATAGAAGGTGACTAATAGAATAGTCACCTTCTAATAGACACTGCTAATAGTCACTGACAGAAGTCGCCCACACCCCTATCGGGCTGAGGAAGACACTGGGTTTGCCCGGGGTGGTGTGGGAGAGAAAACTCACTTCTTGCCCAGCTGCCGGGCCACGTCACAGCGCTGGAAGCCCTCGAGGTAGTAGAGGCGACGAGCCAGCCGGCAGGCAGCCTCGTTGACCCCCTGGCACCCGTTGGCCAGGGCGTCTGTGCTGCCGGGCTCCAGCCCCTCTGAGCTGCTGAGCTCCGAGTCCGAGTCAGACAGGCCATCCTTCAGGCTGGGGTCGCTGCAGAGGGAGGGTGGGGCGGAGAGGTGGGGCTCGGTGGCCCTGAGGCAGAGACCCCGGGGAGGTGCTGGCAGGTCTCCCAGGACCCTGGAAACCCACACAGGCCAGAGCAGGGAGGGCGCTTCACTGCACCAGGAGGCGATCGAGTCCCTCAGGTAAGACCGTTAGCTGCCCCGCAATCCCACAGCAGAACTCGCCGGCCCCACAGGGCTAGACAGGCCTGGAAGGGCAGAACAGGCCATCGGGACTGCGGTGGGAAGTCTGGGTGCACAGAGAGGACACGACGACCTTGGAGAGGGCTGTTGGCCACTAAGTAGCCCTCGCCTGCTTGGCCTCCTCTGGGTCTATTTCCCCATCTACTCAGTGTCCTCCCAGCTCCCAGCCTGGGCCCGGCCTCACCTGGCCGAGTTCAGCAACTTGTCAGTGTCCTCCTCTTCCTCCTCCTCATCCCCGCCCGGGCCCTGGGGTCCATCGTCGTGGAAGCCATTGGGCATGGCCGTGAGAGACAGGCGGCTCAGGACGTTCTCCGAGCGGCTGCCGGAGATGGATCGCCGCAGGGGGCTGCCCAGCTCCCCGCCGCCGCCTGCTGCTCCCATGTTCCCCTCGGGCCCCACGCCGACGGGGCCCAAGGAATTGCCTGGCTCCGGGCTGTCACGGGCCCGCTGCTGGATGAGGGGCGTGAGGGGGGCCTCGAAGCTGACACAGCTGTCACTCTCATCCGTGAGGCTCAACACGTCCAGGGAGTCAAGGCTGCTGTACTGGGTGCCCCGCAGCAGCTCTGACTCCACGATCTTCTCAAACGTGGCGCTGAAGCCATCCCGAACATCCGGCTCTGCAGGGCCATCCAGCCTGCAGGACGCAAGGAGCAGTCAGCGTCCTGCCCGAGTGGCCCCGTCACAGGTGCTGGGACTCCCTGGGGGTGGGGGAGTGAGCGTGGCTGGTGGTCTGTTCCTCTTTTCAGCCAGCACTGCCGGATGCTGGCTGGTTACTGGGGTGCAGCAGTGAAAAGGCCAGGCATGCGCCCCCCTCCAGAGCCCAACCCCTGCCTTGTCCATAGCGGGCATCAGTGAATGAATGCAAGTCCTCTTTCTCTAGCCTGGCCCACAGGTCTGCTCCCCCGTCACAACTAGAGTCACAGAGGGTCATAGTTTTGTTGTCCTTATAACCTGGGAGGGTCTTAGCTTGGCCGACCACGTTGCAGCTCTCGGGCTCTGCCTTAAAGCCACCCCCTCAGAGAGACTGAGGGAGGGAGGTCCACACCACACACCACACTGGCCCCGTCTCATTCTTCTCCATCCTCGGGGGAGCTCCTCTCATCCTCCAGCCCCTCTCAGGATGCAGTTTTCTAACTGTTCCCCTGTTTACCGTCTGTGCCCCGGCCCCATCTAACTATCCACACACAAGGCCAGATGCAGCCAGCACACAGTAGGTACTTGTTAACCGGGCTGCACGGAGCCCGGGCGAATAAACAGCTGCTGGTAGCCCCACGGCCCACCGCACTGCCCATGTCCTTGCAGAGCCCGGTGCTGCCCCAGGAGAAGCCTTTCGTGCGGTTGCCCACCCTGCCGGAGTGCTCTGCCCTCAGGCCAAAGCCTCGGTCCTCGTTCCTCCTCCAGGAAGCCTGCCCTGACCACCCCATTTATAACTGGGACCTGCCCCCAGGCACCCAGCCCCTTTTCCTACTTCATATTCCAAAGCACTCACCCCCTTCTAACATACTTTAATACAATAATTTATTATTTTGATTTATTATCTGTCTCCCCACTAGAACATAAGCTCCATGAGAGTAGAAAATTTTGTATGTTCTGCTCACTAACGTATCTCCAGCACCTAGAACAAACCACCACACACAGGTGGACAGAGGCCTCCTGGAGAGATGCTCAGGTGCACAGGGAGGTCAGGGAAGGAAGAGGAGAGAGACTGGAGGACAGTGAGACCCAGAGAAAACAAACAAGAAAGAGACAAAAACAGAGATGAGGAGAGAAAGAGAGAACAGAGAAACAAGATACAGAGAGCAGGAGACAGAGTGGGGGAGAAAGGGAGCAACAGAGCTTGAGGCAAAGACAGAAAAACAGAGGCAGCCAGAAGAAACACAAAGGAAGAAGCAGGCTGAGCCAGCCCGTTTGGGATAAATCGCCACCCAGCATTTGCAAAGAAGCGCAGCCCCCCCACCCCCACCCCTGTGAGATTCCAGTGAGGCCCAGCTTCTCCCTCAGCCCCCGCTGTCTGCAGAAACTGAGCTGTGCTTGGAGGACTGGGACATGCTCCTTCCCCTCAAACAGCGCCTTGGACCCCCCTGTGTCTAAGATTTGGTCCGTGTATTCCCTGGAGAAAAATACTGACCTGAGAGTTGTCTTTCATCCCAGTCCCAGCGGGAGCCGAGACTGCAGGCTCACTAGGCCTTCGAGGGGCCAGAGAAAGACGTGGGGAAGTGGGCAGAAATCTAAAAGGTGGCAGGGTGCCTGGCAGGGGACTGGGCGGAGTGGCCTCTTACTGACCTCCAGGAAGAGGGGAAGGAAGAGAAGGGTCGAAGAGCAGACACCTAAACCTGCCCAGCAAAGGCACCTCTGCCTGTGCTGGGTCCTGAAAACACCTGAGCAGCGACACAGAGCCTGCCCTTGGCGGGCTTCTCACCTTATGGTCAGAGCCATGAATGGCTCCCCGACCCGCCATCTGCCACCTCTCATGCACCTGGACAGAACTGAAGGGTGGTTCTGGCAGGAGCTTGAAGACCACCAGCCCAACCTCGGAATTTCCCGGTGCTCCCACCTTCGGTCAGCCTAAATACGTATGAGGCCCACACGCAAACAGTGTGCACCCAGAAGCCCAGCCCCTGCAGCACGCTACTGGGTCTGCCAGCCGGCCGATGCCCTGGGTCCTGCCTGGATAGAAACGCCGTTATGGCCACGGCGTAGCCAGCACACACAGGCAACCGACCCCACGTACCACATTCCTCCCCACGGAGTCCTAGGCACACTTGGCCCAGCACATCCACGTGCAGGCTCAAATGTGCACCCACACAGGCCAAGCACACACAGATACCATCCACCCACAACCACACAGACTCATATGCACCAGCACGCTTACACAGCCCCGCACACGCACCAATGCACAGCCAGGCACACGCACGCTCTCCAGGCACACACTCACACGCCTCCCACGCACTCGCACCCCGAGACTTCTATACTGTCCTTTTGCAGCCCCAACCTCTTCTAGACATTCCCCTGGCCCATCCCACCCTCCACATCCAACTAGCATCCCCATGACACCAGGTCCCTCCACCTCCTGCTGAGGTTAAGATAAGAGGGGCTGTAACTGCAATAAGTAGGACTGCAGTAGGATTCCTGGCAGAACTTCCAGATGGCATTTAGGCCAGGGGTAGCCGACCTGGATTAACCTATAGAGTGGGATTAGCCTACTCTATGGAGGTCAATGGCAGAGTCGGGAGGTCCTCATCTGCAGAAAGTGGAGGGATGGACCAGACGACCTTCTGCATCAAGGCGTTTGGCAACTCTGATACCCAGTCTGGGGCAGAGAGAGTATGGCCCTCCCGCTGCCCACAGAAATGCCCCTCAGTGGTTTGTGGGCTTGCGGGGGGGGCACAACAGGCCTCTCGGCCTTGGAGGTCTCCAGGCTCTGTGTTCCCAGAACACCCAGAAGCTGGGCCAAAGAGGGACACGAAATTCCCATTCTATGGATGAGAAAAACAAGAACCAAAGAGACTAAATGGCTAGACCCAGGCCACATAGCACGGAGCAGTCAAAAACGGTGAGCTCCGACCCCGAGACACCGACTCACCCCAACCGAGGGTCCTCGCTGTCCAGACCGAGGCTCCCGGGGGCACTGTCTCCTTCTGCCAGCCCACCAGCCCTCCAGGGCCTGGACTCTGTAGAATCTTCAAGAATGTCCGGGTCTGGCCCCAGGGCCAGACCATTGGTGAGAGAGACGCCGAGGCCGAGGCTGAGGCTATGGAGGGCCACGTCCGGGCTCCTTACGGGCTCCTCCGTGCACGCCAGGGTGCCCCTCAGCTCATGCCCTGGGGTGCTGTGGCTACCGTTCAGGTCCACACTGTCTGCCATTCCATTCTGGACCCCGGACTCCTCCCTAGGCTCCAGGCTGGGGTCCCAGGTGGCACCGCTGTCCTCAGGCAGCTCAGATGGGAGCTTATCCTCCTCCATGGCAGGCACTGCTTCTACCCCGTGCTGGCTGCTCCTGGGACTCCACTAGACCTGGCGGCAGATGGCGAGATGGAGGGATGAGTCAGACAAGGCAGGTGGTTGGGGGTCTAAAGCCCAGCGGACCCAGCGCCAGGCAGCCTGCCTGGGGACAGAAGGATGACTGAGATGACCTTCGCAGGCCCTCCTGCCTGGGTCTAGGTTCATGCCATGGTGTCCCCAGTGCCCTGCTCAAAGCAGCCCCACTCACCTGTCCCTGACCCCCTACCGCTCCATGTGCCCCAGTCCTGCCTCCCCAGCACCGCCTGTGTGTCTCTGTTGTGTTCTCCCAGATCCACCAAAGCCCTCTGTGGAAGACCCAGGTTGAAAGGGACCAGGGAAGGGTCCCAAACTCCTCCAAGCCCCCTTCCTCTCCCACTGGTGAGTGATGGAGACAAAGCCCAGGCCATGGCAGCAGCCAGCCAGCCTCCTCGCCTCTTTGCATGTTGTCTCGCCCTGGCTGCAGGGAAAATGGAGGGAGTTGGGCTTGGGGCTGCCTTTAGAGCGGCGGGGAAGAGAGGAGGCAAGGAAGTCAGCCGAGTGCAACTTTATCAGAAGGGAGGCCACCCCAGAGAAGCCAGAGTGAGCCCTCTCAAGAACCAGCATGAGGCGCTGTCCAGGGTGCTGGGCGGGTGCAGCGCCACCACGGACCCTCGCTGAGAACGCAGGGGCCTCTGCTGCCCAGCGCCCAAAGCCCCAGCGCTAGGAGAGAGGACGAGGGGGCCGGGGGTCCTTTCCACACCGGCGGGACTCTGCAGAACTCACTGAGCCCTGAGGAGAGACTCAAGAGGAGTCTGCCATGGGGCGCTCTGGGAGAGTGTGCAAGGGGACAGCCCTGCTCTGCTCACCTCACGGCGTGACCCTTCGTGGGCCCAGGCCAGGCCCACTCCCCTCTGCCCTGCTCTGGGCCTGTTTCTCCTCTGTAAATTGAGGAGACCATTTTACGTGCCATGTCCCCTTTAGAATAAAGTGGAACCAGCCCATATTTCCCAGACGCTTCCTGCCCAACCTAGTCCCAGGCGGGAGGGCAGATGTGACAGGCTGTTCTCCCCTCAGCCCTCTGTGCCCCAGCCCCACCCATGCCAGGCGATGTCCACCCCCAGTCCCTACTGTACCCCCAAGACCTCTGCCACCAGGGACACAGAGCGGCCCCTCCAAACAACTTCCTGCCTCCCCTTTTCAGGCCTTAGCTCCCCCGAGTACCCCCACCCTCCTCTAGAGGAGGAGTTCTAGGGGGTCAGGGGAGGCGGCGGGAGAAGAGGGACTGGCCAAGCTCCCAGGCTGCAACAGAATGAGCCACAGGTACAGTCCCAGGACTTAATGAGACCCATGCTGCCCACCCTGCCTGGTCATAAGTGTCACCTGAGGGACTTAAGTTACAGAATGTGAAGCCCTCCCCCCAGACGTCCGGAACCAGAATCTACAGGGAACTGGTGTAGTAGGAGAGACCTCCCACTCAGAGAACATGAGCCTGGAGAGGAAAACGAATCACTTCCGGGCCCTTGCAGGGAGCTCTGACACCACAGGACACGTAACATTCATTTAACCTTCATTGTCAAACATGAAGTGAAGGAGAAGAGGCCAGGACTGAGGTCTGGGGCCCCAGCCCACTCACCCTGAGTGCCACCTCCTGGGGTTTTGAAGACTGTGTGAGCATAGATTCTACTTTAAAAAAAAAACCTTCATAGATTAAAAAAAAGTCTGAAGAGCCGAGCTCTAGAATATCTAGGCCCCGATCCTAGGACACAGGGAACCCCAAGGGGCTTGGCCCCGAGTCCGGGATCCTTTCTGGCCTGCCCTAAATCCCTGCTGCTCCAGTTGCTGTTTCACTCTGTTCCTGCGGGCTGTGTGCTCAGAGGAGGAGGGGAAGGGGCTGTCTCCTCAGCAGCCTCCTGGGGGGGGGTGGGGAGCGCTGAGAAAGCAAAGGGGAGGGAGCGGGGCCTTCTGGCCTGCTGCCTGAGCCCCACTCCTCTGGCCGGCTGTACAGCTCAGGGCCTGGATGAGCACTGGATCTGGGGCACAGGGCTTCACCCCACCTCATCAGGGTGCCTCAGGCTCCCACAACCTCGCATGGAGGCCAAGCCCTGCGGGGAGGGGCGCCTCCTCTTTGGCCAGGGCTCTCCCAGAGCTCCCAGCAAAGCCTGGTGTTTGAGAGTGTAAGCGGCTGGACCTGATGCTGTCCGCACCGGCCTCAAAGCCAGGGTTATGAACAAATAAAGGGCCTCTTGGGAGGCCCTTACATCGCCCCCCAACTTCCAGCAGCCACCTCGGGCTGGCTGCAGCCGTACCTGCCCTGCCATGTCCTCCTGCAGCTGGGAGAGGGATGGAGGTTCTGCCAACACCCAGGACTGGGTCGTGTCCTTGGCTTCTGGGGGTGGGCAGACAAGGAACGGCATTGAGCTCCACTCTGGGCAGGGGGCCCAGAGTCCCTGCCTGGGCTGAGGGCCATGTAAGCCTAGAAATAGCTGAGCCAGGAACCCCTTCTCTTAATGAGCCCAAATGATGGGCACATAAAGGGGCTTCAGGGCAGAGGTGAGAAAAAATGCCCCAAGTCCTCGCTCTGAACAACTGTGTGCCTTGGGACTCACTGCTCCTTCTGGCCTTGGCGGACCCGTCTCCATAATGGGGGCACTGCCTGCTTCCCCAGGGCTGGTGGGAGAACTTAAGGTCATAAATGCTGGGAGAACGGTGATCCGAGGAAGAACACACTACGGAGATCAAGGAGAAAGGGAGGCAGCTGCGGTCCACTCTTTCCACCACAACTGACAAATGGAGGAACTAAAGCACAGAACCAGACAAGGCTTTGCCTGAGGTCACGCAGTGAGTAGCTGCTTCTAGAACTCGGAGTAGCCTCCCTCTGCACCTGGGTGGGCTGGAGGTGCAGGATGAGCCCTCAGTTTCCCAGGGCCCCATCAGACACTCCCACAAGGTCAAGGGCTCAAATCTTCTACTGGAAGAGTCCACCCAAAGCAGTGACCCTGCCTACCTGCAGCCCTGCTGGCAAGAGCAGGGGGAAGCAGGCACAGCTGGGCCACAGGGCACGGACCCAAGGAGGTGCCTGCAAATGACAGGCTGGCAGTAGCTAGGTCCCCTGCATCCTCCCTCAGCCTGAATCAAGCCCTGCTCCAAGCAGGGCCTCCCGCTAACCACAGCCCTTGGGATGACCTGGGGTGCAGCGGCCTCTTTTTCAGCAGCAACCAAAATGGGGTCCATGATGATAGTGAAACCCTGGCTGGGCCAGGGCTAAATGCCAAGCCAACCACTTTTGAAGTCTCAGTTGCTCCTGAAGCAACCCTGCCCCCTCCCCACTCTCCCTGTGGCGGCTGGAAGGAGCTGTGGAAACAAATCACATCACATCGCTCCCTCACTCACAACCCTCCAACAGCTTCCACTGACTTCAGTTAGAACCCGGTGTCCTCGGCACGGCCTAAAAAGGGCCTGCCTGAACTGGCTCACTGCCCTCTCCCCATCCCCCATCTGTTGGCCACGCGGCCTTCTTTCTGCTCCCTGAGCTCATTCCCACCGCAGGGCCTTTGCACCAGCTGTACCCTTGGCCTAGAATGCTCTTTCCCTACGTCTTTAAATGACTGCCTCCCGTCACCAAGAGCTCCCCTCCAACACCGCCCCCTCAGAGAAGCGCCCTGTGACCACCCGGCACTCTCTCACACTCCTCAAGAGAGCAGCACACCTGCTCAGCCTCACTTAGCAGAACCGAAACCTCCTTTTCTGTTTGTTTCCTTACTTCCTGCCTCACCAGGAGGTAGGTTCGGTGAGGGCAGGAACTTGTCACATTTGCTGTCATCTCCCCCGGAGCCTAGCACCGTGCCTGGCAAACAGTGGGCAGTTTTTCAATGGTTGGAGGTGATAACCATCCTCTATTGAAAGAGGCGGAGGAACACGCCCAGGGCCACAGAACTGGAAAGCGGCAGGTCCGGCGTTCTGCTCGGAACAACGCCGGCCTGTCCCGAGGGCAACCTCATGTGGTGCCTTCCACACTGGGGTCCAAGCAAGGGGCTGCGAGGAGCCCCAGGAAGGGCCGGAAGAGGGCCCAGACAGGGAGGGCTCCAGGGCCCAGCCCGCCCTGTAACACAGGGGAGAATGCGTGGGTGCAGGTGCCCACGTGCACATGTGAGCAAGTGTCCAGCACAGGCCTGTGTGGGCACGTACATGCACACACGTGCACCACACGAACACACATGGAGGGCGGCCCCTCGGGAGGCAGTGTTCCTGCGTGGTGAGGCGGAGATGAGGAGCCCACCTGCCTAGGGGCAGGGTTCGGGGCAGCTAGACCTACATCACTGGACGACTGGTATGGAAACCATTCTGCTTTGGGAGAAGCCAAGGGCAGGGAAGGGACAACCCAGTGCTTGAGGCTAGGGTGGGGAGTGGGGAACACAGACATCCACAGTGACCACAGCCGTGCCCAGCAGCATCGGGCAACTGGGTGAGTTTGGGAGGAGACGGGGCCGTGCAGGGCCCCTTGGTGGCAATGGGGGCCCAGCAGGCAGAGTTAGGATAAAGGACCAGGACAGGCGAAATGGAAGAGGCTGTGGGGGGGTTATGGGGCCTCAGCACCCAGGCAGCGTATGTCCAGGAGGCGGCAGTCAGAGGAAATCAGTCTGGAGAGTCCGTGGGAGGCGAAGCTGCGACCACGGCAGCCCCGAGAGCGGCACTGAGAGCCAAGACTCTCTGGTTCTGCTTCCAGTGTCTGAGGGAAGCTTGGGCAGGAGAAACTCCTCATGCCCCGTGTACAAGAGAGACCCCTAACGATTTCCAGGACCTCTGTGCACACCTGACGAAGCTGTGGGTCCCACCCCAGACACTCACACAGGTGCACAGCATTTTGAGTATTTTCTCGGAGACTCATGGACCTCCAGCACTCTGGGCACGAACCCCAACCTGGAAAGTCCCCAAGGACCCTCTGCCTCTGGCACCGAACCCTCAGAGAAAGTTCCCTGAAGGCCACTGGAGTGGGGGAGGGGGAGCTAAGAACCTTT